ACGTTTCTTGTAAGTTGTGTATGGTGTTTTTAAGTATTTATTTGTATAAAAATCTAGCAACGAGTTGCGTAACTTTCCCGGCTTTTAGGAGATTTTATTTAAAAAATAACATTTATATTATTAATCATAATAAATAACTAAAATTGTATATGGCACCATCTGTGATGAGATTTTGTTATAAAAATTTTATATATTTTTAATTATTATAAAATAGCAAAAGACTTAATTTTGAGGGTAGAGATGAGTTTTATAAAACACTATAAATGCTAACCACAAGTAAATTCTTCGTTAAGTCTGACCCCTCACGAGATATATCACGTGACCACCCCTATCTTTCCATCCTTTCAAATTGGACACGATTCCATTACTTTCCCTTGTTATATATACATAACAACCGGAAAAGTAAATATGTAAATTTTGCATTTGTAAAGCGTATTTTATATTGTTTTATCATAATTGAATTCAATATTACACGCAAAATTTGGCAAAGGAAAGAAAATATTCGATTGGAAACATTAAACGATGTCAAAGATAAAATTGTTTTAATGATAACTTTGCTTGTCGATCGAAGGTTTTTTGGAAATGGTTTTATTAATAATCTACAGATAAATATTTATACATCTCCTCTACGAGCGGCTGTGAGTTTTATTTCTATTTTCTACATCTAAATAACGAAAACAACGTTATAAAAACTAATATTTATTACATGAAATTTTTATAGGAAAGAGTCGAAAGTAATTTGAAAAGTTTATATAAATAAAGTAAAACTAAAAAATATTTTAATACGTTAAATTTTAAATGAACAGTTGATGTTTCGAGAATTCTAAGCGTGTACATAATCTCTATAAAACGGCCCCTACAGCTTTAAAGAATTGGAATATCGAAAGTAGTAACGCCTAAAGGTAAATCAGGAAAGCTCACAAGATGGTGAACGCATTAAGACACGATTTCTCTGTTGAAATTGCCTGTAGGATGTTTCTCTTATGTCCAGCCATTCTGTATCTAAAAATTGCTAGAGTAATATTTGACAATTTCTGTTTCAAAATCTTGGTTTTCGTGAAGACGTTCTACTCGATTCTCTTCTAATTAAAAGCTTGTCTATCCGTTCTCCATGCTAATTAGCGAATTATAATAACCCCGAGATAAATATTTTGTTTTTAAAATTGTTAAAGAATTACAAGATGTAATTTTTATTTTCTTTAAATTAAAACTTACTTTTAAATATTACTTTTCTGGCTGTGTTATAAACGAGGGAAAGTATGGCGATCGGTTAAAAAAAAAATGATTTCCTCCAAGAACCCAAGAAGTTTCAAGCTTTCCTAAGTCATTCAGGGAAGCTTGAAACGTGGATAAATGCAAGAAAGTGGGGGATTTTTCCGTATGGAGAGATGTTAATGTGTGGGGAGCAGATTTTGTTTACTCACTTTAAAGCTTAATAACTCCTGTGCCTTTCGTCGAATATTTCTGAAATTTTTCAGGTAGGTTCATACATTAAGGGAGAATGTTTACAGAAATTTTCAAAAAAATCGGACTATTTTTTCGGGAGATATGGCCTCACTCCCTTAATATCTCCTCAACCAATCTGAAGACTTAATGGTAATGGTAGTAATTATTAGGGATGAAAACAATAAAAAGAATGCCAGTAAAATCTAGTAAAACGTTTTTAGCCTTCTTTTTCTTTATTAAAATTAGGTAAGCAGTGTTAAACTTATTTATTTAATTCTTTTAATCGTATTTAACCAAGATTAATTTCTTTTTAAATAGCTTACTCTTGTTATAAATGCGTATAAGTTTGAATTCGCTAAATTGATTTTGAGCGAAAGTTAATTAAATTCCGATATAACCACTCGAATTTAAACCGGGAATTTATTGGAAGATGATCAGGAAAAAACCTTTTGGAAATTCATTGTTTTGCAAACGTTTTCAAACTAGGTAAATGCAATGAAGGAGTGAGCAACAATGGCTGAATACAAACAATATGCAAGGAATTTGAGTGTCAGTAAAAAGGTTCGGTCGATAAAATGTTGAAAGTCTCTAACTTAAATATGTTATAGATCGAATAAAAGTATAAATAAATAAATATATATATATGAAAAAACTTTTTAGAATGAAAGAAATGTATGCAATGGCAAAATTCCGGATATAGAAAAAAAAATCTTTATGCATTTTAGTATTTTATAAAAGTTTTCCGGGAATGTAAAATTCCCTTGTTTTTTTCCTTTCTCTCTTTAAATATCTAACCGCATCTTTCTTCTCTTCTATTTTATTAATTTCTCATTTATATTTTTTAACTATTGTTTTTATTTCTCATTTTACTGGAAGGAAAGTTATCCATTTTTAATTTTAATTTTTAATTCATAAAATCTCATTGTTGTTCTCGTAAAATTTAAAATATTGCGGCATAAATAAGAATTTTTATCATTTTTTTTAATAGCCTGAATTTTAAAATCTTTCTATATTTTAAAATACGAATATAATTTATCAAAAATTGTACTTTAAAATATTAAAATTTCCTTTTTTAGCCATCTTGTATTTTTTTTAAATATTAATTTTATATTATTGCCGACTTGATGAAAACTTTGAAATTATTAAAATTAATACTGTATTAAAATTTTTAAAATATTCACATGTATCTTAATGTTACAACAGTCTAAAAAATCGAGCAGTGAGTTGTGTAACTTTCCCGGCAAGAGTTAAAATTGTGTATGGTGCCATCTATTATGTGATTTTATTTAAAACTTTTTATATTATAAATTTTTATAAAAAATTGTAAATGCTAATAAGGAGTAAGACCTTCACTAAGTCCGATCAATTAGAGATATGACACGTGACCCTCTCTATCTCTCCACCTTCTTTACCTATAACTACCAAAATTTAATAGCATTAATGGTCCTAATACACAAACCTCCCTGCAAAATTTAATAAATTTTTGACAAAAGGTTCAGGAGTTATTAAGCTTCAAAGTTGAACAGAATCGCCCTCCCACACACACAAATACATCCATACATACAGAAAAATCCCCAAAGTTTCTTTTGCATTTCTCGGCATTTCAAGACCCTCGAGTCCAAAAATATAAAAATCTTGGAGGGGAATTATTTTTGACCGATCTCTATACTTTCCCTCTGTTATATATAATAGTCGTAAGCTGTGTATAAAAAATTATGAAGAATAGAATAAGAGACTGACTTTATTTTCTGATAGAATATTTTAATTATTTAACTCTTATTTTTATATAATTAAAATATATTAATGCCAAGAATTTTTAACACATCAACTGGCAATATTTTTAAAAAAACTTCCCTATCAATACGTTGGGATTTAACTACAATATGTAGTTTAGGCCGTAAGCATCCCAAAATACAGAATAATAATACAAAAACCAATGAATAAAATGCATTTTTTAAAGTTTAAAATATATGATAACAAGCTTTCTTTCTTACAAAGGATAAAATTTTCCTGAGCAATACTATAAACGGACTTTGAGGACACATATGAGCAATCCTTGTCATATCGAGTGAAGCAGTGCAGAATACTTCAAAGCATCTTTGGCACTGAATGGCACCGAAAGGCTATATACGAACTTCCTGTCTATACCGGAAGTCACGTGACTTCAAATAAAAAATTTATCACATCGGAATTACGTAGATGACCGGCACGACTCTGTTGCCATCAGGAAAAGCATGATGTACAGGGGCAAGACGTTCATTTGAGATAGAGAGCATATATTTTAAATTAAAAAAATTTAATTTAATTTTGACATTGTGACAATGCCACATAATTTTTGATCGTTATTGAATAGATAATAAAATTTATTAAGAAAAGTGGCCAACAACTCGAAATAAAAGCTTTTATTTAAATAAAATAAGTAAAAATGTGTTAAGTCTACATTAATGGATTAAGTAAAATGCAATTCTTAGAATACGTTGTAAAATAATTTTTCTTCTATAAATTCGTTTTCTATTGATATTCTAATGAATTAAAGATTTTGAGAATATTTTTACATTAATTTCACACAAGTATAACTCCGAATAGAAATCACCTCATGGTAGAATTCGTCGTTACGAGGACTTTTCAAGAAATAATTTCGTTTCAATAATTTTCAAAAATACAAAAAGAAAATTAAATTAAATTAATTCGAAGGTTAACTTCTTTAAATTTTAATTCTGTAATAAATAGTTAATGAATATTTTATATTAACTCAAGAGAGAATTAAGATAATAGGATTATCTACAATAACATTATACTTGTTCCAATTCATCATGGTGTATCGTTTATGACTGTGTATTAATTATTAAGCATTCGTAAGCCAAATAACACTTCTAAATGGTGATTTAATAATTTGAAGATTAGGCAGTATTATAATATTAACATTTGATGTTTGTTATCACTTGTACATTATGAATGGGAAAGGAAAGAAATTAAGCAAAACTTGGCAATTTATACAAACTTCATCTGGTCATACATAACAATTAAATTTGGTACTTGAAATTTGTAAAATTTTATTTATAAAGTTGTAAATATTTTAGCATAAAGTTAAAAAGGACAGAAGAATTTAATAAGTGTACTTATCTAGTTATGTTTATGTTTGTGTACGACAACTTGCGGGTGATCTGCTAACGAAGGGTGCTTCTCAGGGGGATTTTTATGGGAAACTGGCCCCTGTTTAGGTTTATAAACGTGAAGAAATCCATTTTACATTTATAACACATACCAAGTTAAAATATTTTTTTTTTATTAGAAAGTAAAAATTGTATAGTACATTCTTTTAATGAATTATTATATAAATATATTATGAATTCGTACAAAAGTATTAAATAGCGCGCTATCTTCAATAAATTAAAAAAAAACAAATTGATGATATTCGGAAATTCTGTGAAAATTAAAATATTACTTATTCATTTTTTAAACAAAAACACAAAAGTGCAAATAAATATCGACATTTTTCATTGCTTTGTCTTGTGGAAAAGGCCATTTTCTTACAGCAATATTTCTCTGCTCAGAATCAGAAGAAGAAACTACGTTTGAAACCGATAACTGTACGAGAAGTCGTGGAGAAGCAAATCTAAAAGGTCGAAAATGTCTCAGGAAGTGCAGAACAGATTTAGATTGCATCAGTTCGAGGAAACGTTGCCTTTGCGATGGTCTTTGTGGCTGGAGTTGTGTCAGACCAGGTAAGTACCTTTGGCTTGGTTTAATGACGTTATTAAAAGAGTTAAAAATATAAATATCACAAAACAGAATTATTGACAGATTAAATATGTGACGTGTGTGTGGCCAGAACTTTCGTATGCCAAAGAAAAAAAAACAAAACAAAAAAAAACCAGGTTCTTGCATTGGAGAGAACAATCGTCACAGATTAAATTAATGCTGTGTGTTAACAGTACTTAACAAAGTCTACTGTGTGTAAGCAGAAACATTGATTTAGAATAAGTTATACACCGTAAAATGTATAAAATTGCTAATTTTATTGGATACAGAACTGTAATTTTCTAGAGAAGCCATTGACTACCTGATGTAATAAGAGCTGATGGTAAAGGGCGTTGGAAAATCGAAAACATGCCATAATTAATGGAATTTTCCCGTTAGCCGTCATTCGTCCGGATTGTGTCGATATTATGCTGAAAAATAGCGAAAGCCGTAAAAAAAGAAAGGTATCATAAACCAAAGAGCGTAGAAGTTGGATGGAATTGGATACTTACAAGCTGAGGATAATGATAGAATTATGGAATATGGCAAAGGCGTAAAAATATCATTATAGATAATGATAGAGATGTGGCTTCTCTTATTATTGATAAAAGTTTCTCTCAAAAAATAATAAATATTATTTTTTCATCGAGTTATCTATTTCTGAATGATTTTCTTCAGCGATACGAAATTTATAATCGATTAGAATGAAACTTTTAATGATTATCTGTTTTAAATTATGAGATAATTCAAGGAAGAAAATCGATTTAAATTTTTAATATTAGCTTTATATTTTACCTAAAAATTTAAGAAAAAAATTAAATCATTTTTTAAAAAAATTAACTTTAAACGAGTTTTTTAAAATCAGAAATAAACGCGTAAATAATTTTAAAGTATTAATTAACGATAATTACTGAAAAATCCAATATTAATTTAGAATTTTGATGGTGTTTTCAATTGATTCAATCAGATAAAGTGTATCTGTTGATGTCTCGCTTTATACGTTTGATGCTGGAGAAATTGCGTATCCGTCATTGCAGTTAATGTCATTTCATTTTCGCTTATAATAACAGAAAACGGAAAACCAAACCGTAATATCCTAACTGAAGAGCTTTTGTCTGAAGGAAACTCATATCGCTTCTCTGCTAGATATTACTCTATTAAATTTATTCAACAGCATTTACATTTAACTTTTTTCAAATTTACAGTATTATTGTTCGTTTCTAATTATTGAAAATACAAAAATATATATTCACATAATAATTATATAATATAAAATTACGCATGTACATTATACACACACATACACATACATGTAGTGTTATATATAGGATTAGTAAATATAAAATACGTGTAATACATAAAAATAAGCCACCATAATATACAAGTTTGGACTATTATCAGTTCTTCTATCTTACACGTAATAAAAATATATTTAAATGTTTAATTTTGCAAAGAATAGAAAATAAATTGTAGAAATTTAATTCAAGTAAGGATTATGACCTTTTATATTTGATAATTGTCTTAATAACCGAATACTTCAGACGTAATGGCTTCGTTAACGATAAGTAACGTTGACATAAAATTAATTTTGTATATCATTCGCTTTAAAAAATATATATATATTTATTATTTCGAAAGATTTCTCTCTATTTTTTTTTTGTTTAATTTCTCCATTCAAAATTTTTTATTTTTGTTTTCTATCGAGGATTTACCTATCATAAATATAAAAAACAGCATTAAAGAATGATCGGTTTCGCCTTTAATTCTTTATGAATTTTTTTATTTGTTTACATCTCTGAAATATTTGATATTTGACAGAATATCATTGATAATCTTTACTTGCCCGTCGTTCTATTCAATTTACTTCTTCATATTTAAATATTTTAAAGCAGAAAAGCTTTCCCCCCTTGTATATATAGTCAATACGTCGTTTCGGTTTTGGTGATAAAATATTTATATAAAAAAAAAGAAAAATAAATAAGAGAAAAATATAAATTCGTTGATATAAATAAACAGGGGATTGTGTCTTACAGTTCATACCTTTATCGGAGATTTAAATGAGATAGGAGGATAGTAAATTTAACAGGAATATAAATACGATATTTAATTATTGATATTTCAGTTTTCTACAAGACTCAGGTTAAATTTTAATATATACTTTTCTTCAATTTACTTATATCTTACGTGTCAAACTAAATCAGATATTTAACAAAAGAGTTGCACATTTAGTGTTATGTACTCAGTTTTTAATAATTAAAATTATATTTTATACATTTAAAAGTACAAATATTACGCTCAGAAAATTTTTTTAAAAAATATGTTCGGATAAAACAATTTTTTGATTAATTTTAGGACCCGAAAATATAATAATTATAATTTAAGTTTAAAATTTGCTGTCAAATTTAGTATTTTATCGAGAATTAATATCGAAATCAATAATTTGTAAATATTTAATTTGAGGAAACTAATTTAGATTCCGTGCCGATCGGAATTATGAAATATCTACGACCAAACCTGTTTAATTAATTTTGAATGGTGGTTAAACGGTTGATTTCTGGTTTAATACGTTAACTGTGACGTAAGTTTCAATGTTAGATACGAGACTGGCTCTTGTCTGCTAGAAGTAACAACATTGAAATCCTCCTATACAGGATTTTATTTATCTTCCAAAGCTGTAAATAACTGGTTTATGTCTGAAGGTATTTTTGTTTCGGTTGTTTGAACTCGTTAAGAATCTGTTAGACGATTTTAATATTGCGAAGATGTGCCAAACGTATGTGTAAATGACGTCCACTTGTCATTTTAATTGTCTGCCACGTCACAACTTGATTGAAGCTTTCGTATATTTTGGAGAAATCTAATACGATTTTCAAATTTCCAGTTTTATTGGATTGGTCCATCTTGTATTATTTAATTAAGAAAGTTTTTCTTGAAATAAATAAGTATAGAATCTCGGCACTTAATGACGATCTTAATAGCATTTTAAACGTCTTTTTTTGTTAGAGAAACATAGTAAATTGCCTACATATAATGTTACCTAACTTAGATTCCCGAGAGGAAACTAAGGCAATCTAGTTAATGGCCAACCGATGCCCGAATTCTAGTCCCAATGGTGGTAAGTACAAACCGCAAGCACGATATAGCCGTAATCATACAACAGGGAACTAAAACAGTTGAAATATCAAGGGGATTGCACCAACATCGAGCTATCTAACTATACTTACTGCGCTGGTGAGCTAAGTTGCTCACTGATGGAGTTGAAACGGCAGCTACAAATTTGTTTACAATGATTGATGTATAGAAAAAAACACAAGTAATAGAATTAGGCACTTCGAGAAACAGTTTTACTCCATTACATTTTAAATGAAACTATTAAAGAATCTTATTTTATTTTTTCTTTTATTACATTAAGATGATGCCTTCGTCCTCTGTTATTTCTTACTTTCATTCCGATTAATGTCGTAAAACATTTATTAATTACAAATTATATATTCGATCACGCTAATTGCCGTTTTGCAAAATTAAATTGGAGTCATTTATAATTACTTTTGATTAATTTGTTTTAATGTACGTAACTTTTTCCCCTCTTTAATCGAATTACAAAAGATCTCTTTTTCAACTAATTATCGAATTAATTCGCTATCACTTTTCTTAATAATTTAATTTAACTTAAAGTTATTTTAGTTTTCATTAATATTTTCTTTAATTATACGAATTTAATTGTTAAAATTTGCTAATAGTTTGATACCCAAATAACGTGTCCTCCGACAGATCTCCATTGTGAAGAACTACCTCAACCTGAAAATGGTCAAGTGAAAGTGACAGGAGATCATTTTGGTGCAAGGGCAGTTTACACTTGTGATGAGGATTATTATATATCAGGACCTAAAGATAGGGTGTGCCAAGGGGACGGTACCTGGAGCGATCACGAACCCATATGCAAAGAGAAAGGTAAGGATCGAAACTACCTCATTTATTCTGAAATTTGCATTTAACTAGGGACGTTATTGAATTTAATTCTTAGTAAACAAGAAAATGATTCAATATTTATGTTGTACGCTTCTTTAATATTTCGCCCATAGAATATTAATGCACGTTTATAAAAGTTTATCTACGCACCTTAAGCTTATCTTCCGAAAACAATTTACACAAAGATAAATGAACATTGTCCCATATGAACAATAAATTAGTATACGTACAGTCTGTGCGATTTGCCTCTGGATTAATATTTGCTTGTTTAATTTGAAAATTATGTATCTTTTGGGAGTTTAAATATATTGAATAATAGTTAACTATGTTATCAAAATTTCACATCGGTTTAATACGAATTTAAACTTTTATTAACGCAAAATGCGCTTTAAAATCTTCAATTTTAGAAATTATATTAATGTAAACGTCCTCGAAATTCTCGCATTTGCTAATATCTGTAACAAAAATTGTTTTTTATTACTAGAAGATAAGTTAATGTCTTTTTTTAGTGCACGTTTAAACACAAATTTTTTCGGAATTCCGCATTTTATTACGGTGACAAATATATTTTTTTTCCGATCAACAATTTAAATAAAAATTTCGAGCTTTTGTTAAATCAATTCATAAAATCTAAAAATGAATTAATAAGGCAAAAATATCTGTTTTTAGTTATCATTAAAAAGTACTTAGACGGACGGGAACGGAAAATATTCATTTAAAACGTTGATAAATATAAAATGCCGTGTTTTTCATTTGTAAATTCTTCACAATTCGAATCCACAAAGTCTAAATTTATTATAATTTTTTTTTTGAAAAAAAGAATAAAAAATTAAAGTTTTCTAAATGTTTTTCCAGTGAAGATACCTCGAGCACGTTTATGTTTTCCTTCTTCCTTCTCCCCCCTACTTTCTACGTTTCGTATCTTTACATTTTTACTGGTAGTGGTGATTATAAAAATTTTAAATTTTCTAGCATCAAATGTTAATATTTAATATCTAAAAAGCTTTCTTGAATAAATATCATTTTTAGAAAATAGAGAAAAAAAAAACAAGAAAATTCTATAGCAAACAACATTTTCATATAACCATTTTCAATTCCTTTTCTAAGTAGTAATTTTGTGTTTTATGAATATTCGATTTACTATTTTTCTTTTTAAATGTTTTTGTTTCGTACTAATGATTCCTAAACGATACACTTTTTCGATGATTCTACCATAAATGTTATCGAGATTGACCCAATCTCTTACCTTTAATCGACACCATACACAGGAAGAAAGAGGGAGAAAGAAAAAAATTCTTATGATTTTTGTCCAAATTTTTGTTGCTGGTTAAAAGGAAAGGATAAAGACAAATCTCATAATGTCTAGACATAAAATCTCTTCATATTTTCATATCACCTAATTCAATTTGACGTTATATATATAGTCATGTCATACAAACCGGAGCGATATTATATGAAAGTTGAGAAATGATCAATCAAAGACAGATGCTGTGTGTGTTTTTCTTTTTTTTTTTTCCTCTCGAAAATTGAGAAGAAAATCTAAAACATTTAATATAAAAACATGTAAGCTTATTTTAGAAATTTATCACTTATAAAATATTTATAAAAATATTAATTTTATCAATAAAAAGTTACGTATTTCTAGCTTTAAATATAATATAAAATTGATTATACTTATGGGGGTGATGTGTGTGTTGGTTTCCCTCACACAGGATTTAGGAATAAATTTTAAACTACGAAAAAAAATTCGTCTTAAACAACGAATTACATTTTATTAGTGAATAATTCAATGTCAATCAACTATTTCATTTCCTATAATAATAAATAAATAAATGCTCCGTTATCATTCGCTTAATTATACTAAATTTATGATCTTTCTAGAACTGTTCTTAACCAGGAATCCGTAGAAAGTTTTCGGGAATCCGTAGGATTGGAAGGATAAAAATCAATTTATTATCTTCTGTGTTGTTGTGTAAAACTGTTACTTATTGCGTCAAGAAAGAAGCATATATTTTATTATGTCACGCATTTTTTTATTTTAATAAATATATTCCTTTTATAATTTTATTTTATGCATTTAAAAACATTACGACCTTCGCCTTACTAGAAAAGGGATCCACGGAACAAAAAAGATTAAGAAGAAAGATTATGGTTCGGATACGTTTACATCTTCCTCCCTGATGACCCCCATAGCAAAATCTTAATTACATAACCAAAACACGTCGTTTATAAAGTTTTTAACGCAATTATTCCGATCTCGTTAAAATAAGCCACTCGATTAAGGTTAACAAATCGAAATTTAAGACACGAAAAGTTTAGTAAACACGTCGATTTAAAGCACGAAATAGTTTAGTAAATTTTGTAAGGGATGACGAACGAGGTCATTGGGAGTGACAACGTTATCCTGATAGTTTGTTGCAATTTATAAAAAGGCGCTACACATCTTTCTTGTGCTTCGGATCGCGTGTGCGAGACCAATCAAGTGTTGCTTCGTTTCTGCTTGGTTTCTCCCGTCAGAAGCAGTCTTGGTCTCGTTATCGTTCTGTAATTGGTATGTCGGCAGAAATCAAAGTCGCTAGAACTTGTGACGTAGAAATTGGTCCAGGAAAGTAACAATCTGTCGCCCTTACAGGCAATTGTGGAGTTTGTTGAGAAAGGACATAATGAAAAAAAAAAAGGACGCTCGTGGAATTTTGAGTCTGAAGGAGGAATTTTCATACTAGGATAACTTTTCTTTTATCTTCGTTGCACTTTAATAGTCTATAACTTGCCGTAGTAAAAATGAAATAAGTTAAAAGAAATACTTTTTACTGCAGTTTGCTATGGGCTATTAAAAGAATAGTAACAGCAATTTCTTTTCTTATATATAAGTTATAAATTTAGAAGTTTATTAAACGAGACAAAATGATAGAAAGTTAACTAAATTAATACACAGATAAAAAAAATAAAAAATAATTTGATATATCGTATTCCTCTTTACAGTTTTATTTATTTATTTATTTAAAATTGAATTTTAAAAGACAATATTTCGTTTGAAATGCCATTCGTCTAACTCGTATAATCGAATTTTAGTCGTACGGGCTACAGATGGGCAACAGTTGAATTTTTTTTTCTTTGTTACGTATAGTAAGGTTTAATATGTATTTGATCTGATTATATAGACAATGGATTTGGTAACATTTATTTTCGTTTTCCAAATCTCGGGCTCCACTGGCCAAAAATGTGCGGGATTCCACCCCAAGTGACTCACGCCAGACATAGTGCACAGTTAGACAAAGAAGAATTCGATGTTGATGCCATGGTGCAATTTAACTGCTTTCACGGATACGATGCTAAAGGATTTGCTAGGGCCAAATGCATTCTGTACAATGGAACGGCTCAATGGTTCGGACCCGATCTCGAGTGTATTCGTAAGTATGCGTTTATCCCTTCTTTTCTCTTACTTTTTTTTATATATATATATAAAACTTTCCAATTGATTTATATGTTATGAGGGATAAAAGGGGATTTTCGACTGAACTAAGAAGAAAATATTTTTCTCTTACAATTTGAAATTGTTAAGAGAATCTACTGCTATAAAACGAATCAAACTTTAATATTTTCGCCACTTAATGTACAATTTTTTTTTTAAATTAGCGATCGTTTTAATTAATTATTTATTTAAAATATTTCGAAATTATAATTAATGGATATGGTAATAATAATAATAAAGAATTTTATGAAAATACTTTGAATATAAATGTGTTGATCTTTCCTTCGCTCATAATAAATTCCATTTAGAAACTATGTTAAGACTGTTTTACAAAGCTATTAAAAATTCATTTTATGAGTTAATAAAGTGCCGAGAGTTATATGTTTAAACTACTTAAAATTCTTTAAAGTTTAAATTACTAAATTTGTACAGAAGCAGAATAAAGATAAGTTCAACTGATATCCATATTTTAAAGAATTGTATCCTTTCCCTCGAAAGTTAAGGTAAAAAATATAAATTTCACCTTGATCATAGGTTCCAAGCTTTTTCTTACATTGATCCTCATATAGAAAATATTCTTTTCAATCGATTCCAATTGAGTTTTATAGACCCCTAATTAACTCCTTGTGTTTCATTGACCCCTTGAGTTCCAGCGATTCCCAATTAACCACTCGAGTTCATCCACTCCTTTCAAAATTCCATTGACCCAGTTGGGAATCCCTGACTTAGATTTATATATAATATTTTCATCTTCGAATAATGTATTTAAATTAAGATATAAATTTAAAGTAAAAAATTAGTCCCGTTAAATTTGTATGAATAAAGATTTAATGCTCTAATCTTGTTTATCTAATTTATTATTTTGTGTAACTCATTAATTTATATTAACATTTTCTTAAAAATTTCTTTATTTTTATATATAAAAAACAACTTTTATTGGTCTGCAAATAGAGAAAATTGTAGACTATAAATTCCCGCTGTCGTCCGTTTACTATCTTATATAACATTTTGAAAACGTTAAGATAATAGAACTATATAATATATGACACTGGCGCGGGATATCTTTATAGGGCCCAGGTGAATTTCAATTAGGAGGCCCTACGCGCAGTGTTACTTCAGACATTTTCCTCTGGAGAAATAGTTTCATATAAAAGGTTGTTTAGAGCAGGGGCTTCGAGTAATTGCCCTTTATGCCCACACTGCTAAATAAACGAATAAATAAATAAATATTTTTTTTCTCTATTCGAAAACAGCAAATATGAAAATATATTAAGGAAATTTCATATCTTTCCTATTTAAATGAGCGAATATCTAACGTTTAGATCGTAGATTTATGTTTGAGGAAACGTCTCTCTCGTTTCAGCTCGAAGTTGTGCACCACCCAAAGACATTCAGTTTGGAAGAAGAGAAGGAGACGTGTTTACTTTCACCAGCAGAGTTACTTATGTTTGCATCGAAGGCTACGAACTGATTGGACGTCCGAACCGCTACTGTCAATCAAATGGACAGTGGAGTGGAGTGTTGCCATCTTGCAGGCGTGAGTTATTAAACTGAACTTTTGATGATAAAATACCTCACATGTTAGAAATTCTTTCTAGTTTTCTAATTGTAAACACTTTTAAAAACAATTTTAAAAAAAGATGGAGAAATGAAATCTCATGTTAAATTCCATAAACAAAACTAAGCTTGGAGTCAAATTGGTCGTCTTTTGAGTGATGCATGCAATCAATCTTGTCTTGTCAATAATAAATTAAAGTAAAAGTTAAGTAATAGGTAGGCAATGATGGATTAATGTAATATGAGTTTTTAAAAAAAAGTGTTATTAAGAAAGTGATTAGAATTACGAATGAATGATTTAAAAATATAATTAAATTGAACAGAGCAGTGGTTTTTGTCAAAATTATATTATTTAAAGACGTCGTTTGTACAGTACATAGTAATGGCGCGATAACAATTTAAATTCGTGATTTAACAACGTTTATTTCGGGAATAAATCTATTTATTTGATGATTATCATTACCATCGTACTCTTTTGTATGATAATAATGGTATAAAGTGAGAATCTGTGGGAGGGGGGAAAATATATTCTTCGAATTTGATTTTTGGTTTTTTACTTTTCGTCATTTTCTTAGAATATATTAATAAAATTTGCTTTAAAATGTTTTATTTATAGCCGTGGTATGCCCTATTCCTACCGATCCCGTCAATGGTAGGGCTTCGTATTCTTCTGTGACGTATAATTCAATTGTCGAATACCAATGCAGTCATGGATACAGACTTGTAGGACCCAAAACTAGGAGATGTCAGGCTGATAAAAAATGGGAAGGGGACGATCCATTATGCGAAGGCCAGGAAAGTAACAATCTGTCGCCCTTACAGGCAATTGTGGAGTTTGTTGAGAAAGGACATAATGAAAAAAAAAAAGGACGCTCGTGGAATTTTGAGTCTGAAGGAGGAATTTTCATACTAGGATAACTTTTCTTTTATCTTCGTTGCACTTTAATAGTCNTATATATATATATATATATATATACACTCGATACATCTGTGCTTAATTTATAAATTAAATATTCATAAATTTCTGAACTTTCAGAAATTTCTTGTGGTAGTCCTGGAATACTGTATAACGGATATTTAGAAGGAAGAAGCACAACTCTTGGGTCAATCTTTACAGTAAACTGCTTCGATGGAATGAAAATGGAGGGTAATCCCGAATCCATACGTTGTCAAGAAAATGGCACCTGGTCTCATCCACTTCCAAAATGTCTCGGTGAGTTTCGTAATTTATAAAATAAAAAATATAAAAAGTTTTTCTTCAACGTAATAAAATGAAAAATATCTGAATAGTTTTATTACTTAATGTATAAGAAACTTCAAGATATATTTTGTTCTTTGCATTAATTTATTATAGGAATGGAAGCTTTGAAGATCCAGAATCATTTGAAGATGTTTCTGGATTAAACAGGAATTAATAAGAGAAATATAATCTTAATTGCCGAATAAGTTTAATTTGAAGAGAGTTTTGATTTTTTAGTTAATTGGTTCTATTTTCATTAAAAAGTTTTAAAATATTTATATAAAAAATAAAAAATTGAGGAATTAAACGTTATTTATACACGAATAGATTTCGTTATATTTGCATTGATTTTATACTCTTCTATATAAAAATCTAGCTTATGTTTACAAGAAAATTTTCTAGAAATTATTTTTTAACTGTAAATTAAATTTTGATTAAATAACTTTCCTATCTACTTAACCATTAAATTTTTACATGATTAAAACGAAAAGAAATATAAATTTTGTTTAATTTTTTTCCCTTATTAAATTTAAAAAAGTAATGATACAGAATTTTCTAGGATTAATTATTATTATAAAAACAAAAAAACGTGTTTATGAAAACACGTAGAAAATTGACGTCCAATTCTTTACGGTTGTTTTACATTTATAAAAATAAAAAACTGGCGAATTTATTTATTTGCTGGCAAGCTACACTGAAAAAAGTTTTTATTGAAGTTTTCAAAATTGATTGGATTTAGAAATCTTCAAACGTAGAAGTATTCGATAATGATGATCGAAAAATCCTTTCGGTGATTGAGAAGAACTCAACAGCAAATAGAAGTAGATTTATGCAACTTATTCAACTTTCATAAGTAACTCATTTCCTTTCATCCTCTTTCCAGTCCATCATTCTTTACTTCTTTTCCTTTTATTTTCAAGCTTTAATATACGTCTTTCATTTTATTCCCACAACACTTGCTTTATCCTACGATTTTCCTTTTTACTTTCTAAAAATATTAAATTTCTCCCCGATTTATAAAACAAAATATTCGATTTGCCATTTGTTCAGAAAAATAATTCGACGTACTAAATAAAATTAATTCTAAATACGTTTTCTATAATTTTTCATATATCGAAAATAATTCTTTTCCCTTTCAATCTAAACTTTCTTGTCTTTCATAATTGCCTTTTCGATAATCAATTAAATTGTTTTTAATTTGACTTTGTAACACAAACATTTCCTCTCTTTCGAGTTATTCGGTTCCTTTAAGTGAAACTTAGACTGCAGTGGCAATATTGACGTTATTGAGGGAGAATAGGGCGCTACTGTACAGTTGGAGGGAGTTGTTTAGTGTCTGTAAATCCTTACACGTACAGTACAATAAAATCGCTTACTTGCATTGTACGTTTTATATGAAGGAACCGAATATTTTTACCTTTTTTCCAGCTCCTTGCATCGTACCAGTAGTTGAAAATGGGACAGTCGTCGAAGTGGTTCCGGGTTCGAGAGTGACTCACGGACAGCAAATAATGGTGGAATGTAGATTAAAGTACGAGTTGATCTATAATGCCACACCGGCTACTTGTAACAATGGAACTTGGACACACGTCCCTGTTTGCGTACCAGGTATTAATTAAGTATAACTTTTAACACACAGTAGTATTGTTGACTGCTACGTCATAAAGTACGATATTCGCTACTTTAGCTCGTTGTAAACTTCTTCCCGAAAGTCCCAAAAACGGAATGGTCATAGCTCCAAAAACAGATCATGGTATGAAGGCACTGTACAAATGCAGAGACGGTTACAAACTGAAAGGTCCTAACATTACCGAATGTGACTATGGTCAGTGGACTGGAGAAACACCCGGCTGTGCCGTAGGTAATAATACTAATTGTGATTTTAAGTATAAAGTCTCGAGTAAATATTTTAAATCGAGTACGGCACCGAAACCATAGAAAAAATTTACTCAATATTTTTATTTAATTAATGAAAAAAGAATTTTTGTTAAAGTCGAATTAACGCCGCGTAGAAAATAATTATAAAAGTAATAAAATAATTAATGAAATTTGCCTGGATCGTGTTAATTATCCTAGTTAACTACTTACAATTGAATTGTAGAGATAAGTTTCATTCAGCCTGCGCCACAGGTATCCTAATTGCTGTTGAAATTCATAATGATGGAAATTAATTAACGATCGTATCTTCAGAAACATTTGTCTTTAATTAATTTCCGGTAATGAATGAAGTTTCTACAATTCTGTTATACGTATATTAAATTTATTTTCCTGTGTTTTATGAATTAAATTCTATTCTAGGAAGTCCTTTTCTTCATTGTTGGTGCGATGAAGAATATTTACCGTTTTGAAATTTAATAAATGATCTAAAATCCTGGGAGAAACGAACAACAACAATAATAATAATTTTAAATAGTAGTCAAAAGAAAAGTGAAATTTCATTAATAATTATGTCATCTTTAAATTAATCTTATTCCCAAAAGGAGAAAATCAACAGTTGATGTAATTCGCTGACAAGTAAACAAACCAGAAAATTGTAATTAAGGGGTCAAGCACGTGAAAAGTCTATAACACAATTAAAATAACTTGGTGTGATGAGTAAAATTTATTATTTTTTTTTTTTTTAATTTAAATTCTATCATATTTAAGTGGATACGTGTCATATTTTCAATTAAAATTCTGAATTAGAAAGAGTAGAAAGAAAATTTTTACTCAATAACAACTTCTATTAAAAGCTGAAAACTATTTATATTACTTTTATTACTTTATGTGTGTATATATATACACATATACATACATACATTCTGAAACATCGCATAATTTAAAAGTTTCTCCGATAAGAATATGCAAAAATGAAATTGAAAAAGCCAGCATGGTGTTCATTAAAAACGGGAGCAAAAAGAAAATTACATTAAACAAAAAAAAAACGAAAGTAATTAGAGAATTTTAAATATAGAAAAATTTACAATATTTTTCTGACATCTTGCAAAGATTTAACAGAAATAGCCTGAAGGAATTTTTGTATAATCTAGAAAAAGAATTTCCTCCGGTAAACTTTGAAATTGTAAAAATATGCCACGAGTTAATCTTGGCTACTTAATAATAAAACCACATAATTAAATCCTATTCTGTGAAATTCTTATAATACCTAAATATATTTTTATACATATAATTTAATAATTAATTAATTTATTATTATTAAAATTGTATTGTAAATTAATTATTTGATTTATATTGGATCTGAAAAGATTAAGAAGAAATTAGGAGTGAGATTGGTTTAATGTAAACTTATATTAAATTTTAGTCTGCTTTGTTAAGTGTGAATAGAAATTAATAACGTTTTAACAGATAATTGATGTATAAAATTTTCGAATTAATTATAAAATGTTGAAAATTTTGTTTAATTAATTATCTGAGTGAAGGGAAAATCCCCCATATTGATTTCTATGATAGAAGATCGTTCTTTCGAAGTTTCGAGTATTTTCTCCTAGCTGTTTAGTAAGAAATTCAGGAAACACCACACGATCGTAACTCGTGTTTCGCATCCCCAACTGAAAAATTATTTGGCACGTTCTTCGTCCCAAGAACACATGAGAAAATTTAAAATTGGATAAAAGAAAAATAAAAGTGTATAAAAAACACATAACTCCGTACAGAAGTGGAATGTAAAGAAGACAATGTCTATTATAAAAACTTAATCCGTTCTTCGTTAGTAGTCGAGGTTTTCTGTGTCCAGTAGATTTTTTTCCAGTTCCAAAATACAAGAATATAATTAGAAACAGATGACGTCCTTATCCCAGTTTTAGTCTGAATCATTTGTTTGTCTAGTGTCAATGAGAGAAATCATTCAAGTCGCATCCTCTCCCCAATTTGCATAATGAGTGTTCGAGTGTATTGTTGACAACAGAAGTGATTCTGCTGTTCCGTATGACACCGGCTAATTTAGCTTTTCAGTATGAATAAATATTGGCGAAATTATCGATTAGCCTGTCTGCTATATTAAGTAAATCCTTCCCAAATTACGCTATTAAAATTTTAATAAATAAAATGACGTATCGGTGTTTAATTTAAAACCGTTAACTCACTGGCGCGTTATCCTGGGGGCCCCACCAACAACAGACCCAAATCAATTTATTACAAGAAAATATTCACTCGAAGAAAAATGTCTGAAGTGTCGACACTGCACGTGGGCCCCCAATTCAAATTTACCTGGTCCCCACAAAGCCGTAACGCGCCACTGCGTTAACTTCTCTCTTTTTTTTCATTTTAAATTAATTTAGTATAGTAAATTTAAAGAAAAAATAATCCAATTGTGATTAATTTTTGCTTTTCTTTCTAGTGTATTGCCCTTATCCCGGCGAATTAGCTCACGGCAAAGTATTGCTTATAGGTCACATGGGGATGTACGAATACAGAAGCTATGTACGCAAAGTGGGTAACGATCGTCAAATAATGTACGAATGTCATCGTCATTATACTTTAATCGACGGTCCAACTGGGGCCACGTGTGTAGACGGTCAATGGAGTCCTCGTGAGATGCCCCGTTGTGTTAGAGGATCTCATCCAAGCGTACGTTGGATACGCTCTGCAAGAAGGAAAAGAGAAATAATCAAAAACAGAATGAGAAGCAGAAGAAGAAGAGGAAAGAATAAGGAAAGAAGGCCCAAAGGTAAAGATTGATGACGTTTTTAAATTGTCAGAATTAAATGTAACACAAGGAGGCAAAGTTAGAAGAGATAAACTAACTTTAGAAGCAAAAAGAAAAAAATTCATATGAAAGTTTAATTGAAATGATAAAGAAGTATGAATGTTTATGCTAATAGAGTAAAATTAATAATCTCGCTATCATTGCTTAGATTATTATTAAGGTCTATTAAATAAATGGTATCTACTTGATTTAATTGCTGAAGTGATTTATTTAAGATTCAATTCTATTTTTACTAAGCTTATTCTTTAATAATATTTAACTATCAATGCATTATTTGTTACATAAATGTAAAAGTACTTTAATTAAAATCCTTATTTTAAAATTACATTTTTGTTAAGTATTTAATAATAGATCGTATAATTAATTAGAATTATTGTCTATTTTATTTTATTTATTTTTATTTTTACCGAATGATATGTGATATAAAGTATTTTATTAAATATAAAGAAAGTTTTTTGTATTATTATTATTATTATTATTATTATTGACTTTTATGTGGAGTTTGAACATTATCGACGTGTTTCACAAAAATTATAGTGCCCAAGAGAAAGTGGCGAGCAAAGGGTCTAAATCAAGATTTGGGATATCAAATTTAAGTAAAAATGCTTCCTTTTTTCAATTTTACAAATATCTAAATTCAATATCAAATTTTCTTTCCGAATATTCGAGATAAAATTTTTGTTATTATTCATTTAAATTAGCTAAAAATTAAAATCGTTACTGAAATTTCAATTTGACGCTCTATTTGAGGCCCTACATTTGACGATTTTGGATATAAATAAATACATTAATTTCCTTTATAGAGCACTGCTACTATCAACTTTATTAGTAGCGCGACAGCATGAGCATAGGGGAGCTACAATGGCGTAAATTTGAATGTAATGTAGGCCTACATACATTGTACACTCACATGTTTGTTATTGGAGGAGGTATTTCTTGCCTATGGCGTCACCTATTATAAATATAGTAAAACCTGTTCAAAACGGAACCTTAATAAAACGGAAACTTGTCTAAACGGGAAGAATTCTTTGGAACACAGCGATTTTTCTGTGTTAAAAAACCTGCTCAAAACGGAAACCTGCCAAACCAGAAAAATATTCAGTACCGTGCGTGTCCGGTTTGTACAGGTTTTACTGTACTCATTCTACATCCTATAGGCCTACGTCATATCGCGTTTAATAATGTTATATGAAAAATTTTTTTGATCACATCAATATTTTTAATAAGTTCACACGCAAATTGATGTGATATAATATATATACATATATTTTAAATATATTTCGGTATTTTATATTATTAATTAAAGCGACNTTATAGAGCACTGCTACTATCAACTTTATTAGTAGCGCGACAGCATGAGCATAGGGGAGCTACAATGGCGTAAATTTGAATGTAATGTAGGCCTACATATATTGTACACTCACATGTTTGTTATTGGAGGAGGTATTTCTTGCCTATAGCGTCACCTATTATAAATAAAAACAAAATACAGTAAAACCTGTTCAAAACGGAACCTTAATAAAATGGAAACTTGTCTAAACGGGAAGAATTCTTTGGAACACAGCGATTTTTCTGTGTTAAAAAACCTGCTCAAAACGGAAACCTGCCAAACCAGAAAAAATATTCAATACCGTGCGTGTCCGGTTTGTACAGGTTTTACTGTACTCATCCTATATCCTATAGGCCTACGTCATATCGCGTTTAATAATGTTATATGGGAAATTTTTTTGATCACATCAGTATTTTTAATAAGTTCACTCGTAAATTGATGTGATATAATATATATATACATATATTTTAAATATATTTCGGTGTTTTATATTATCAATTAAAGTGACAAATGTTATTTTTATAGTTTCACTCTAGCACTTTTTAACATCGGTTTATTTATATTTAATTTGATAAAATTAATAATTGGCCTATAAGTTTAATTTTTTAGATTTCCTAATTCAATGATCGCTTTCATTTTCTCTCGCTGTCTTTCGCTCCCATTTTGTCTCTCGCTCTTTCTTTTCTCTATCTCTCACTGTCTTTCGCTCTCACTCTCACACTCTCTGTTTCTTTCTCTATCTCTCACTGTCTTTCGCTCTCACANATGAGAAGCAGAAGAAGAAGAGGAAAGAATAAGGAAAGAAGGCCCAAAGGTAAAGATTGATGACGTTTTTAAATTGTCAGAATTAAATGTAACACAAGGAGGCAAAGTTAGAAGAGATAAACTAACTTTAGAAGCAAAAAGAAAAAAATTCATATGAAAGTTTAATTGAAATGATAAAGAAGTATGAATGTTTATGCTAATAGAGTAAAATTAATAATCTCGCTATCATTGCTTAGATTATTATTAAGGTCTATTAAATAAATGGTATCTACTTGATTTAATTGTTGAAGTGATTTATTTAAGATTCAATTCTATTTTTACTAAGCTTATTCTTTAATAATATTTAACTATCAATGCATTATTTGTTACATAAATGTAAAAGTACTTTAATTAAAATCCTTATTTTAAAATTACATTTTTGTTAAGTATTTAATAATAGATCGTATAATTAATTAGAATTATTGTCTATTTTATTTTATTTTATTTTTATTTTTACCGAATGATATGTGATATAAAGTATTTTATTAAATATAAAGAAAGTTTTTTGTATTATTATTATTATTATTATTATTATTGACTTTTATGTGGAGTTTGAACATTATCGACGTGTTTCACAAAAATTATAGTGCCCAAGAGAAAGTGGCGAGCAAAGGGTCTAAATCAAGATTTGGGATATCAAATTTAAGTAAAAATGCTTCTTTTTTTCAATTTTACAAATATCTAAATTCAATATCAAATTTTCTTTCCGAATATTCGAGATAAAATTTTTGTTATTATTCATTTAAATTAGCTAAAAATTAAAATCGTTACTGAAATTTCAATTTGACGCTCTATTTGAGGCCCTACATTTGACGATTTTGGATATAAATAAATACATTAATTTCCTTTATAGAGCACTGCTACTATCAACTTTATTAGTAGCGCGACAGCATGAGCATAGGGGAGCTACAATGGCGTAAATTTGAATGTAATGTAGGCCTACATATATTGTACACTCACATGTTTGTTATTGGAGGAGGTATTTCTTGCCTATAGCGTCACCTATTATAAATAAAAACAAAATACAGTAAAACCTGTTCAAAACGGAACCTTAATAAAATGGAAACTTGTCTAAACGGGAAGAATTCTTTGGAACACAGCGATTTTTCTGTGTTAAAAAACCTGCTCAAAACGGAAACCTGCCAAACCAGAAAAAATATTCAATACCGTGCGTGTCCGGTTTGTACAGGTTTTACTGTACTCATCCTATATCCTATAGGCCTACGTCATATCGCGTTTAATAATGTTATATGGGAAATTTTTTTGATCACATCAGTATTTTTAATAAGTTCACTCGTAAATTGATGTGATATAATATATATATACATATATTTTAAATATATTTCGGTGTTTTATATTATCAATTAAAGTGACAAATGTTATTTTTATAGTTTCACTCTAGCACTTTTTAACATCGGTTTATTTATATTTAATTTGATAAAATTAATAATAGGCCTATAAGTTTAATTTTTTAGATTTCCTAATTTAATGATCGCTTTCATTTTCTCTCGCTGTCTTTCGCTCTCATTTTGTCTCTCGCTCTTTCTTTTCTCTATCTCTCACTGTCTTTCGCTCTCACTCTCACTCTCTCTGTTTCTTTCTCTATCTCTCACTGTCTTTCGCTCTCACACTCTCTGTTTCTTTCTCTCTCACTGTCTTTCGCTCTCACTCTCTCTGTTTCTTTCGCTCTCACTCTCACTGTCTTTCGCTCTCACACTCTGTGTTTCTTTCTCTCTCACTGTCTTTCACTCTCACTATCTCTCACTGTCTTTCGCTGTCGCTCTCACTGTCTTTCGCTCTCACTCTCACTCTCTCTGTTTCTTTCTCTATCTCTCACTCTCTCTGTCTCTCGCTGTCTTTTGCGTTCACTTTGTCTCTCGCTCTGTCTTTCGCTCTCACTCTGTCTTTTGCTCTGTCTCTATCTCTCGCTGTCTCTTGCTCTCATTCTTGCTCTCATTCTGTCTCTCTCTCTCTCTCTCTCTCATTTGAAAAGTAAAGTTACCTCTCACTCTCTCTGTCTCTCGCTGTCTTTTGCGTTCACTTTGTCTCTCGCTCTGTCTCTCACTCTGTCTCTTGCTCTGTCTCTTTCTCTATCTCTCGCTGTCTCTTGCTCCCATTCTTGCTCTCATTCTGTCTCTCTCTCTCTCTCATTTGAAAAGTAAAGTTACTCTTGCCTTCTTTACTGTTTTAAATCTTATAATATAAACCTATTTTATATTTATTTGGAATTTTTATTACGATTTGAACATTAAAATGAAGACGAATATCCTCAGAATATAAATCATTTATAAGTGAAAAGATGCATTTATAAAACAATACAAATTCTCGGTTTTCGCTTTTCTCATCGATCACATCCTTTTATCTTCACAAGCAACCCAAGGCTTTATTTTCTATTTATTTCACAATGAGTAAGTTTACTTAGAAGTTAAAAGTTGGATAAACTAAACAAACCTCCTTTTGTCTACTTTATTTAATTGCTTAAAGGTGAATAAGTTTCATAAATTTGACTTATTATAATGATAAATAACTATAAAAATACAGAAGTAACTTTAATTACTGCCATTTGCCCTCGCTTTTCATCGTATAATGCTGCTTTATCTTCTCAAATTTATCCAGGAAATTGCTCATTAGAATAATTCTTTTGCAATTACAATGTAACATCTTTCTTTCGTGCAAACAGTTAACTTTCCTTACACATTGTTTACTCCTTTACAACATATAATTTCCACCAGTATTACCGTATCGTGTACAGTGAAACCTGTGTAAACCGGGCTTGTCCGGCTTGACGAGTTTCCGTTTTGAACAAGTTTTTTTTAAACAGAAAATCGCCACCTCCCTAAGAATTTTTCCCGTTTAGGGAGGTTTCCGTTTTAGACAGGTTTAACCGTATTATTGTTCAACTTCTTAAAAATTTTTAAAACTAGAAATAACAGATAAAAAGAGCGTTAGTGGGGGGAAATAATATAAATTATGTAAATAATTCAAAAAATTGCAAACCTATAAATTCCCACTGTCGTACGTCTGTTTGTCCATCCGTCTGGACCGAAAGTGGCGTGATTTTTTAAATTAAAATATTACCAAAAATTGCGATCCGGATGTCACAATAAGTATATAATTGTTCGTTACCAATTAAAATGCTCGTTAATAACCAGATATATTCTTAATAATGTTAGAATACTTTAGATATTAGTGTATTTTATTTATGCACAGGAAAGTAAATTATAATTAAACAAATTAAATTAACACCGAAAATACACGGAAAATGATCGTAATTACCAATTAAAATGCTCATTAATAAGCAGATATTCTTAAGAGTAAATCTTTTTAAGAATTACAGCAATTTATGACGATCACTGCTTTGCTAATATCATCATCCACTCGAACGGCATCATATATTTAACTGGTTATTAGTGTCTTAATGAACGATTAACTATTATTTTCTTATGTATAGAGAAAGAGAGTGACGAGTTAATTTATTTATAATGATTCGACGATAATTTTATTGGGCTGCAATTTGAAAAACTTGTAGATCTATAAATTTCCGCTATCATCTGTCTGTCTGTCCTTCCTTAATCTCGAGAACGGTATTAGATAGATAAAAGTCGAGACCACAAACGAAAAGCGTAGATGTAGGAGGTTCCGAGTCACTATACTGTGCTAGTTTAATTCAAAAACTTTCTCTAGAACGGAGTTACATAGATGACTGGCATGACTCTGTTGTTATCAGGAAAAGTATGATGTACAGGGGAAAGACGCTAATTTGAGATGGAAAGCATATATTTTAAATAAAATAAATTAAAAAATATGATTAAAAATTGCAGCTCGTGTTAATCGAGATTAGTTTTAACATATATTTTCTCGTCTTTTGTCTTTGGAAACGTTCGTTCCGAAGGAAGTCGTCGTCGAAGAAAAATCATTGCCAAAATCCAGATGGTATCTTATGATTTATAACTGCAAAACACAAAAGAATATCGCTGACGGGCCATTGTCAAATTGTGAAAAGATGGTAGAGTAGAAGGGCATCTTTCCAATTCATGTTTCGTTCAACAGGACGAGGTAAATGAGACGAATAATCCAGTTTAGAATTTTCTCAGACAATAAAGTCGGTGCAGCCACACGAAAGAAAATCTAAACAACTTTTTGAATGGACTTTGCAACGACGTGATTGTTATATAAATAGAGTAGGCCTCGCCCCGCAGAAAGAAGAAAATATTAAGATTTTATACTTGAAAAAAAAAAGAAACTAATTTTGTTTTGTTTCGCATGGAAAACGTTTTAAAAATAGCTACGAAGGGGAGGGAGAAATTATGTTTAAAAAGTTTAAAAAGGACGATTTATGTTTTTAATTAAGGCGGTAAAACCTGTGTAAACCGGACTCGCGCAGTACCGGTTTGGCAGGTTTCCGTTTTGAGCAGGTTTGTAACGCAGAAAAATCGCTGTTCCGAAGAATTCTTCTTGTTTAGGCAGGTTTCTGTTTTATTAAAGTTCCGTTTTTAACAGGTTTTACTGTACTAGCTGCGTGTATCCGGCTCTATTCGGACTATCGAGGAGGTGGGGATTGGTGAGGTTGTATTGGGAGGGGAGGATAAAAGTAATAGTCTTAGTAACTAAAATACATTTACTGACCAGAGTATTTACAATAATTAAACTGCAAAACGTAAAATTGCTCTTTAAATTAATAGGGGGTAAGCTTTAGGGGTGTTTGGAGAGGACGTTACAGTATTTTTTATAGGGTCAAAGAATATACGTACCAAATTTGGTACTGATACGTTGAACAGTATAGATTCCTTTACCTAACAAACATACATACAGTAAAACCTGTCCAAAACGAAACTTGAATAACCGGAAAAAATATTCTGTACCGTGAGATTCCGGTTTACACAGGTTTACTGTAATATATTTTTAAGTACATGCATTCATTTTCACTTATAATTTTATTTATTTAAAATAATTGAATACAATTTATTGACCCGCAGAAACACGTTTAAAATTCAAATGAATTCATTTCTTTAAATAGTTACGCATAAAAAATAACATGCAATTTGACACGTAATTCTTTTAAAGATATTTTTTAATATTTTAAATAAATATTATTAAAGTTAAAATATTATTTTATATATTAAACTTGACAATCAATGAATAAGTGACTGACAGACAGCAGTTCGCTTGTTAGTCCCAACCTTTTAATAAAATTTTATCATAACGTTGTTCATTGTATTTTATGTTAATTTAAATATAATTTAGATAATGTACGTCTATTGTAAGTTAGAATGGCACGTATGTGGCCTTTAACCTTTCGTCTTTCCAACAAACGGTACTTAATTTTGCAATAGTAGGCCCTTAAAAACTATATATACAATTTTACTTGAGTGCAATAGTACAGTACTTAGTCGAGAGTTTGTAAGCCCTTTTGATTCGTTTATTTGAACAAATGAAATACGTAGAATGTTTCTTTATTAATAAAAAGCGGTCTTAAAGAGTTTAATTTTATAGTGATAGGAATTACTAAGGGCTCTTAAGTTTTCCTTGTCTCAGGGAAAAATCCCTCTCGATGATCCTGCATATACACGATATTACACGTGGATTATATAGGAACATCACGATTATTTTACAATACTGTTAATGATATTGAAGTAAAATATTATTATAATGTCCTCTATCGAAATCTAATTTAATATGGATGAGTTAGAAATCATTCATTATTAATTTACAGAATGTATGGATCGTGATGGAAAATTATAGAATAATTGGTATTTAAATACATATTTGATTTGTTTATATATATTATCTATATAAATAGACAATATTATATACTATATTTATTATTAAAATAATTATTTTATATATTAAAAATAAGAAACATTAAAGTGTAGGAGACAAATCAAGTTTTGTGACTTTATTTCTTCGCAATTTCTTTCTTCCGTGCTGCAATTTTTAATAATATTTTAATTTAAAAAAAATGACGTGACTTCCGGTCCAGACCGGAAGTTCGTATATAGTTAATCGGGACTTCCGGCCTTATCTTTCTATATCTGGTCTCTATTTTCGAGATTAATGCAGGACGGACGGACGAACAGACGAACGACAATGGGAATGCACTGTACAGGTCTACAATTTGAAAATGCAGTCGAATAAATAAGAAAATTATAAAATTAATTTTTATATTTCTTAATATTAATTTATTTTTGATATTTTTTTAAATTTACATAATCCTAATTTTTCTCTCCATTTTTTAAAAATTATTTTATTAAAAGATAATTTCGAGAGTTACAGTTCGAACAACCGTTAAGAGACTGTAATTTTAACAAAATAGTTAGTATTTAATGAAAAGAAAATCACTGGATAAATTTAATTAATTACTTTTTTATTGTTTTTTGTAACGCATTTCAGAACCTTGTTCGTCTTTACCGGAAGTTCCGTGGATGGAAGTGGAAGTAGTAAAATTAGGCAAAGGGAACTATAGTTTGCCACACGGCACAGTGATCAGCGTGACTTGCAGTCGTGGACATCAGCTAAATATTGGCAACAAGACAGCCAGGTGTGTCCGAGGGCGATGGAAACCACGAGAGCCCGAATGTTTGCCGTGTACGTACTCCCAACATCCACAGAGGAGTCTAGATGTAGTACGTGTCTAAATTTCGATTAGTGAATAATAATGCAAAAGGAACCTAGCCGGGTTGCTTACTAATTAACCTTTTATATTCATAATCGTTTTTAATGCCTCGCTGGATCATATTCCCGAATATTTAATTCCGTACACTCTTAGGCTACGTTCGGACGGACTCTTTCTACGTTACGTTACTTTACGTGTGAACAATCAAAGAAGGCGTTATTTAAGGCGCTACAAATAACTCTCCCCTTTGATTGGCTAGTCGTAATGTAACGTAACGTAAAGCCGGTATATACGTACCGGTATACCAGAGAGGAGCACCCGTTCGGGTGTATATCTGTCAGGCATACTTGAACAAGTACGCCTGTACCCGACTTAAGAAGAGCCTGTCTGAACACAGCCTTAGATTCTCAACGGTGTTCACGTGACTAATATTAAAATAAACTTTTGCATGTTTAAAACATGACCCTTCGTACGAACAAAAATATAATTTAATATCGAATTTACATTATTCTAGTTGTAAATGAATGACTTTTATGAGGATTGTTTGTTTAAATGCATGTAACTAGAGTATTAAATTTCAAAAATATTATTTTCTTCCTCTCGTAAGTTAATTGTTAAAGTATTTAAATTTCAATTACATTAAATTACTATATAATTTAATATTTTAATATAAATATAATCACTAATGTATGCGTAAATGTATTATCGATCATTTAAATTACACCAAATTAATAATTTAAACAGGATTTAGTTTATTTTAAATTAAAAAAAAATTAATAGCAATATTTTCTATAAGATATTTTATTATTTAATAACGTTATTNTTTAATGAAAAGAAAATCACTGGATAAATTTAATTAATTACTTTTTTATTGTTTTTTGTAACGCATTTCAGAACCTTGTTCGTCTTTACCGGAAGTTCCGTGGATGGAAGTGGAAGTAGTAAAATTAGGCAAAGGGAACTATAGTTTGCCACACGGCACAGTGATCAGCGTGACTTGCAGTCGTGGACATCAGCTAAATATTGGCAACAAGACAGCCAGGTGTGTCCGAGGGCGATGGAAACCACGAGAGCCCGAATGTTTGCCGTGTACGTACTCCCAACATCCACAGAGGAGTCTAGATGTAGTACGTGTCTAAATTTCGATTAGTGAATAATAATGCAAAAGGAACCTAGCCGGGTTGCTTACTAATTAACCTTTTATATTCATAATCGTTTTTAATGCCTCGCTGGATCATATTCCCGAATATTTAATTCCGTACACTCTTAGGCTACGTTCGGACGGACTCTTTCTACGTTACGTTACTTTACGTGTGAACAATCAAAGAAGGCGTTATTTAAGGCGCTACAAATAACTCTCCCCTTTGATTGGCTAGTCGTAATGTAACGTAACGTAAAGCCGGTATATACGTACCGGTATACCAGAGAGGAGCACCCGTTCGGGTGTATATCTGTCAGGCATACTTGAACAAGTACGCCTGTACCCGACTTAAGAAGAGCCTGTCTGAACACAGCCTTAGATTCTCAACGGTGTTCACGTGACTAATATTAAAATAAACTTTTGCATGTTTAAAACATGACCCTTCGTACGAACAAAAATATAATTTAATATCGAATTTACATTATTCTAGTTGTAAATGAATGACTTTTATGAGGATTGTTTGTTTAAATGCATGTAACTAGAGTATTAAATTTCAAAAATATTATTTTCTTCCTCTCGTAAGTTAATTGTTAAAGTATTTAAATTTCAATTACATTAAATTACTATATAATTTAATATTTTAATATAAATATAATCACTAATGTATGCGTAAATGTATTATCGATCATTTAAATTACACCAAATTAATAATTTAAACAGGATTTAGTTTATTTTAAATTAAAAAAAAATTAATAGCAATATTTTCTATAAGATATTTTATTATTTAATAACGTTATTTATTTGTAAATTATTTAATTAGATAATTTAAAATAAATCTTTACTTTAATTAATTAACTTTTATATTCGTTTCCTCTCGGAAATTAAAGATTTTATTTCGAAAAATTAACATTCAGCTTGTATTTTACCTGTTTTAATGCATTCAAAAATAATAAAAAGATTATAAATATTTTAAAATTAATCTTAATGAATGGCTTATTAGATTACATAATTTTTTTTAAAATTCTGCCATTTATTTTTCGAATTTTTATTTTATAAACGTGAAGGATAATCAAGAAGCATCAATGATGCAGGAACGTAGATAACTTTTTTCTAGAAAACGTATTAAAATCTTAGGAATTAACACAAAGAAAAAGGCAATTTCAGGAATAAATTTCTTCCCTTTTCATAGAAACAGGTTATTATGAAAGTTTAAAATTTATTTCTTGCTGCATTATCAGGAAGTTCAGTAGCATTTAAACAGAAATTAAACTAGACTTTCGTCTTTAATTACATTTTACTGTCCATTCCTTTTTGACTTGGATTCTTATTGTTCGTCGGATAAAATTTTTATTGGAACAAAAATCCTGATAATATAAAAATTTTGTTTTATATCCTTTCAATTTATATCTTATCCAATTCAGTTATTTTTCAGACATGGCAACTTCTAACACGGCAGACAAAATTTAATAATATACTTCTTACAATAGCATCGATGGTACCGATATCACTTTAACTGGATTCATCATTATAAATCACACTATATAACCATGCTATATGATTTCTTATCTAGATAAACAGATATATCATTTTTTCTATTATAAAAATTGTGGCTCATCATTTTTTATCTTCAAAAAAACTATTTGTAGATTATCCTTCCTTTACTTCTTCACCAATCACTTATACCAGTGTTTCCCAAAATTTTAGTACTACCACCCCTCTTCTAGTGCATATATTTCTTTATATTTTTCTGTTTCAGAATGAATTTTTGCCCCATTGTCTTCCAACACTCCTCCTGCCCCTTGTTTTTCGTTATGCCTTTGTGTCTTCTACCCTACTCAAGGAAGAGGTAGAACCTATTTTGGGAATCACTGATCTATACTCTTTGTTAGTAAATTCTTTTTTCAGAAAGAATTTTAGAAGAAATTTGTTTATTTTCAGCTTCGTGCCTGGCAAACAAGTTACAAAGTGGTGTCTATCATCACTTCCAAATGACAGTTGATGAATATAAACCTATACCACACGGAGAACAAGTGACTATCATTTGTCTTCCTGGTTTTCAGTTGATGGGACCAGAATCTTTACGTTGTTGGTATGGCGAATGGGCAGTTGATAATTATCCGGAATGTATACCACGTGAGTCTTTCATATTTTTTCATTTTTAATTAGAAATATTATATGCTTTTAAAACGAATATATTAAAATTTCAACACGTGTTCTTAAATTTATTAGCTTAAAATCGTGGATAATTCAAAATTATTAAGAAGTTTTAATCACATTTTTCAACTCTAAGATTAAATTGCTATCGTTTCGTCTTAAAATTTTTCTCGAATTAACGTAGTTATAATAATGTATACAGTAAAACCTGTCCAAAACGAAAAAAGTTCTTCGAAATGAAGCGATTTTCTGTGTTAAAGAAAGATCTGTTCAAAAATGAAATCTGCCAAACCGGACAAAATATTCCGTGGAATTCCGGCTTACACAGGTTTCACTGTATAATGTAAACAATAAGAGATTCTTATACAATTTATTATCATCAATAATAAGCTATGCATTTTTCGCCGATAATTCATATTACAGTAAACCTGTTCAAAACGGAAACCTGATTAAATGGAAAAAATTCTTCGGAAAGGAGCGATTATCGGTGTTTAAAAAAACAAACCTGTTTAAAACGAACACCTGTCAAACCGGAAAGAAATATTCGGTATCGCGCGAATCCGACTTACACAGGTTGTACTGTATATTCAACGTTATACAGTGGCTAAGTAAGATTTTGCTCCAACATCACCTCCATAAGTACGTACAGTACATTACAATTTAAAATTTTATGTTTTAAAGGAAGCAACAATGATTTAATTATAACGAATTGTTAACTTAAATTTCGAAACAATTAAAAATAAAAAAAAACTGGTTTGAATGACATTGACAGTTGAAAATACCGGTTGATTAAACTTGTACATATTTAATAAAACAATTTATTTATAAGAAAATAAAGGTTTTATATTTCCATCTTGGTACAATTCGTAGATATTTTCCAATCCATAAAAATCTTCTGATGATGTTGGCATCAATCAATGTCAAGAAGACTTTGTATTATTATTGAGTCGCTTTTTATCCTTAATACGATATGTCATGGAGATGTTACTCTATCCCATTCTTTTTTTAACTCCGAATTTCAAATTTTAATTCTTTTTTTTTTTTAACTTGAAAACATCCATTTTCTTTATTTGTTATGTTAATCGACCGAAAGAAGAATTATATTCGTTCCGTTATATTAATAAAATTAATCATTTCTGCTATTTAAAAAATATTAATAAAATAATAAAAATAGCCAACTCGATAAGAAAATTATATTAAATAATGATTTTTATTTTTGACAAGGAACTTCAGAAGTTTAATTTCGAAGTTTTCTCTTGTTTGGTGAAACACTTATTCAGAATCCAAACAGAAATGTGCGGAAGACGAACAGACTAATGGAGAAAATTAAATCAAATATTACTCTTGACGTATTTGCACGATGAAAATCTGAATTTTTATCGAAAGAAAGAAACTATTTCGATTTTTACTTCACGTTTCGATTTCTCTTTTGTCAACAAGCACTATCTACTCCAGACAGCTGCGGCTATATATCTCTCGCCATACTTTTCTGAAAACAAAATAATATATCTGGAAACAAAACCGGAGGTGACATATCATCTTGCTATGTCACTTTCCATTACTATGTTTTTTCCCCTGCAAAAGATTCTTATCATGAGAGTTCCAAGATAATTTTCAAAACTTAGATAAATGGAAGAGAGATTTATTTAAAAAAAAATTATTTTTAGAACATTAGTAGACCTGTTCGTAAAGAAAGAAAAAGCCGATATGTTGGGAATTTTAAGAATTATGCTCACTAATTTATCCTTTGGTAAAATATTAAACCGAAAGTTTCATAAATTTTACTCAAACATGGAGATTCCATAAGGTTCGGCCCTTCATAATTTTTATGTTAAGTGAATTTGCGTGTTCGTGAGTCCGAATAATAAAGTTATAAAGACTATTTGTTATTCAAAAATGGTATTATTATCCATATAAAAAAGAATTTGATATTTTATTAAGTATATACAGAAGATTTATATTGATAATTTTATATTAATCCCGAACGTCAAAACGTATAACGTCTAGTCGTAATTTTAAACTAACTTTTTTAAATTTTTCTACTAAACTTTATACTTAAACAAACTTTAATTGATGAGCTTACTTTATTAAATTGGCTAAGCATGTTCATAGGATACTAGCAATTAAATGTTAGTTGCTGTCCTTAGTAAAATCGATAGACAGAAGTCGAGCGTTAAATGTTGAATTCTCTCTTTCCTTATAGGACCGTGTGAATTGCCTGTGATTCCAGATGGAAACTATCTCAGTGGTTATAGGGCAGGACTTACTATATCTCACGGTTCTTCAGTAGACTATGAATGTAAACCCAACTACGTTAAACCTACTGAAGAACCAGTTCGATGTTCTGAGGGACAGTTACGTCCTGAACCCCCTGCTTGCCATCATTACTCCATTTTGATCAATGCTGCCGGATTCGGTGAGTATCAAAGATACAAAGTTTTTATCCTATTCGCGTGTAAAGGATAGACAAATATAATTTATAAAATATTCAAATATAAATGGGGTATTATGTATTAATAATAAGCAAAAGAGAAATCCCATTGAATGAACAGATATAAAAGTAAGAATTGCAAGTAGAATGTAGGAAAAGATAGAAAGAAATAGTGAATAAAAGGCTATAAAAGATGATTGAGTGATTGAAAAAACTTGCTTTTGATAGAAACTCTTTCACATTTTCATGACAGAAAGACATGATAGATATCCAGTGCTAAGTATTGCCAAAGGTCACAACTGATAGCTGACCCAGGACTACATCGTTTTGCTTTGAAAATATCAAGAAAATTGTTATTAATATAAAAATAGTAATAAAAGTTTTGAAGTTTTTAAGCTTAGGAATTGAATTTAGTTCCACATTTAATATCTAATCATATTTTTAAAGTATAGATAACAAGAGTTCAGTTAGGGAATTTAAATTTAAAAATAATTTTCATTGTAATTAAGATCTTCTTAATGCCAAATATACACAAAAAATGTTCTCAAAGATGTAAAAATGTAAATTTTATAATGCTAAACGATAATTTATTCCACAATTGTTTTTATTTAATTACACAATTAACTCTTATTTACTTAAGAAATATGAAAGAAGTGACAAGTGAATAAGAACTGTAATTTCCAAATGCGAATATGGCCCGTTAGTTTTACTTTTTACAACAATATCAGTTGATAATTATATGAAAAAAAAAGGTTTTAATTTTGTTTTATCTACGTTTAGCAGAATTACAGCTTTAATTAAACTCCATAAATATGTAAAGATATTATTTGCTAGAAAAGAAATTCAAGAATTTTAAATATTTATATACGAATTTACTTGTCATTAATGTGCATTCGGAAGAAAATAATAATCATTTGTGGAGAAGAATAAAAATATATTTTTTTATTCTTGGTTTCTATTAATAAAATATAACAATTCCATTAATAAAAAAGATCAGGTATCAAGTTATTCGTTAAGATAAAGTCAGCTGAAATCTAGTGGAAAAATAAGACAGGATGCTCTATAGCAATATTATACTTGATGAAGGTTAAACGAAGAAAGTAGAGGAAATTTAAGATAGAGATTACAAGTGGAAGAAGTAGAAATTGCATAAAAAAATAATGAACATGTTATATTCAATACTTCTATAGTATCATTTTTCAACTTATGACTTCTTTATTAAAATGTTCTTCTGTTTATAATCATTCAATATATTTCGAGATAAAAAAAATTGTATTTATTTATACCGTGCAAGAGGATACAATATAAAACACGTTATTATATTTTACTCTTCTATTTTAAGACGTAACCTTCAATTGAATAAGTATATTTTGTCATGAAAGCAGCCAGTTGTAATTTTGCTGGTGTGTAATTCACAGGGAGAAAAATCCATAAACGAGTTGCTTAACTTTCCAGGCAATATTTAAACTTTTAGTGAGGCCATCTGTTATGATATTTTATTTTTAAAAACTTTTTATAGTTTTAATTATTATAAAACGGCAAAAAGTTTAATTTTGAGAGTAGGGATGGTTTTTATATATAATTAAAAAATTGTAAGGAGTAAAATCGTTATTAAATCCGACCCCAAGCGACGTCACACGACCCCCTCTATTTCCACACCCCGTGGTCCTTTAACCAGCAAAATTTAATATCGTTAATCCATCAAATACACAAACCTCCCTGCAAACTTTCTGAAATTTTCTATAAAAAGCATAGGAGTTATTAAGCTTCAAATTGGGTGAAAAGATCGTGTAAAACCTGTCCAAAACGGAAACCTGCCAAAATGGGAAAAATATTCGGTACCGTGCGATTCCGGTTTACACAGGTTTCAATATATAACAGAACCGGGAAAGTAATATATATATATAAAAGATATATATTGTTATCATTTATATACAGGATAAAGTGATTTTTGACGATTGGATCAGTAACCGATACAGGTTGTTTCACTTTAAACCAATTCGATCGGATCAGAGCACAAAAGCTGCTGTCAACTTTGACAGTATCATTTTAGTCATGTAAACATCTGAATTCATATCTATACAGTGAGGTTTAATGCAATTTTAACTGTCTAGAATGACAAATAGTGCAGAAATGTTGTTGGTTAGGAAGAAAATTGTTTCGTTTGAAAAATCGTACATTCCAGTTTGCTCAACGCTATCAATTATGAGAGAGTTTGAAGGCAAACACGTCAATTGTATGAATCTCCTGTGATTTGTCCCTTGATACGTCTGATAAATCTTGATGTAAACGCTTCCCAAAGGATATATAAATATATATTTATGTTTTATTTACTTACCGTTTGAATCTTCTTGTAACACCTGAGACACCGTTTCAATATTCTCGGTGCATGCCTTTAAAATTAAAATGCCCGTTCGCTTTGTACTTTTTTTGCTTATAATTACCTAAAATATTATCAAAATTATGTTTTTGTATATTTTATAAATTTAATTATTTATTTAATTTTTAAATATAGTGTTTAAAATTGTTTATTCAATCAATACGTAATGGGTACCATATGGAGCAGGAGGGCTGGAAGTTCGGTTTGAGCCAGCCCTGGTATGAAGTACCATTTGAAGACTAGCAGTTGTATTCTGATAACACTATAATTAATACAAAAACTATTTACTCTATTTACATATATGGTGTTCTAAATATGCCCTCGTAGATATTTACTTGTAATACTAGAATTGAGTTGTCATTGCAGTTTCGGTATTCGAACTCGGGTTCGATTCGACATTCGAGAATCTAAGATTAGATCAAATTGTACAGTTGTACACAATTTGTAAACAAAGTAACGCGCTATAAAAGTTGGTATCAGCGTTTTGTATCCATCATTACCTCTTTACAGTCAAATGTATGATGTATAGTACAATATAATCTATCTTTCCCAATACAGTAATTCAGCCTTCTGGAAACTGTTGAGTTTTATTTATCTTCAATTCATTGATAAAAATCTCAGCAATCGAATGTTGTACTGTACAGGAATAATCTCGTTTCTCTTTGAAGGGTGATCTTGTTTTTATTTATGTTTAATACGTCGATATCAATTGATTCGTGCGTCATTTATTCAAAGGTCAGGACATGAATCTATATTTAGAGAGCAATAAAAAAACCGAAATAAATAAATACCAAGTAATAAATATTATAAATACTTCAGTAAAACCTGTCTATAACGGAACCTGGATAAAACAGAAACCTGTCTAAACGGAAAAAATTCTTAGAACGATACGATTTTCTATGTTAAAACCTGTTCAAATCGGAAACCTGCCAAACCGGAAATATATTCGTTATCGTGCCATTCCGGCTTACACAGGTTTTACTGTATTTTAAAAAAATATTAATTTTAGTGCATTTTAATTCTGATTGTACTTTTTACAGAATATTTTAATTTTTATATTCTATAAATTATGTTATTAAAATAATTGATTGTATTTTATTTCTTTTATTTGGGTTGAGGTTTTTTGTAAAACCAAAGACAGATAAAACTATCGACAGAAGTTTTTCTAATCGGATTTTTAAGTATAAAAACTGATACTTGATATAATTGATTTCGTTTTTGTATAATTTATAGAAGAATTCATATAATTTTTTTATTCTACGTTTTTAATGATGATTATAAAGAAGACTAAATAGACAAAAAAATTTTAAAGTTGATTGGTTAACGCAAGACACTAGTACAGTAAGGCTACACGGCTGGCTACAATTTTGCCCATTTACGGGTGGCTGACCCACAATTCGGTGATCAGTATGGATAAGGAATGGAAAATAATGCTCTAAATATGCCCTCATAGATTAACTATGATGAATTATGGGGATTTGAGAAGAAAGCTCGGTCCAGATTCCTTACTGAGATCATTATCGTACTGTACACCCGTCAGTAGCCTGTATAAAGCCACTGAACACTGGTCGTGGGTTAGCCACGTGGAATTTTCCGGGTTTTCTTCACGTTTGTAACATCTAAATAAGGGATAGTTTCTCATAAAAGACCTCCCTGGAGACACCCCTCTTCGACAGAACGCCCATATATCGCGTTGCCGTATACAAATAAACCAAATCAAAGACAGAATATTTTTAATTTTTTATGTTTGTATTAAATTTGTAATTCAAACTTGGAATCAATTGTGAGAAAATCAAAGAATAAAATCAATTTTTCCTGCTTTCAATTTAACGTTTAACGTCCTCATTCGACATTTCATTTCGATTTTTCATATTTAATGGTCGTTTGACGGATTATGTGCTCTGAAATGTTACCTATGTTATGCAATATGTTACCTAGGATTGGTGATCAATCAGAAAAAAAATTCAAATACTGTATAAAATGTCTGAAAAAATAAATAAAATTTATGCATCAATATCCTCGTATACAGTAAAACCTGTTCAAAACGGAAACCTGCGTAAAACAGAAAAAAAAAATTCTTCGGAGGGGAGCGATTTTTATATGTTAATAAGAAAAACTTGTTCGAAACGGAAACCTGCCAAACCGAAAAAAATATTCGGTGCTTGCTATTCCGGCTTATACAGGTTTTACTGTAATTATATATATATATTTTTTTTTAGCGGTGCGATTTTAATTATCTCTAAATATATAGGCCTAAACATATATATAAATAATTTTTTTTAATCCTCTGAAATAAGTTATAAGAATGGAAAATATTTTACTAACTTTGAATTTTTAATATAAGTCCGAAAAATAATATATTTTAATATTGCAATATCGATTTTATATATAGGCTGTATATAAAGTACATATTTTAATACTAAATTTAATAGCTATAAATATTCTGTAAGTGTTATAATTCTGATAAAATTGAAGCTGGCTTTTCGTATATAGTAAAACCTGTTCAAAACGGAAACTTGCCAAACCGGGAATAACTATCCAATCAGTGGCGCGTTATCCTATGGATAAAATGGGCAATTGCCTATGGATCCACCAATCTTTTATAAGAAAATATTTCCCCAAAAACACTACTCCGAAGAAAAAAAAAATGTCTGAAGTCAACAGGGTACATGGGACTCCCTAATTCAAATTTGTCTGGGTCCCATGAAGAGATAATGCACCACCCGATACAGTATCTTGAGATTCCGGTTTACACAGGTTTTACTGTATTAATTTTAAGGACGAGACCCACTTAAATTATGATATCTCCTTTGTTAATTGATGCATAGTTTTCTAATATTTTGAATAGATGGAATACAGGAGACTGATGTAAGATTTATTCCTCCAGAGGAGAGTGAGACCACAGATACAATTGATATTTTAACAGGAGATGGAAGAAGACCCTGCCAATCGCCCGAGAGATTACAGAATACCTTAATATATCCTGCAATTAGAAGTCTACCCCCTTCGGTAACTCTGAGAGATCAAGAGGAGATTGATTCTTCGCAGTTAATTGGAGAAAACGAGAAAACTCAACCTCATGGAACTGAAGTCAGATTCAAGTGTATTACTGGTATTACTGGAGAAAAAACCACATGGAAAATCGTCTGTCAAGATGGAGATTGGGTTGGAGGAACGTATAAATGTGGTGAGGCGCAATTTTATATATCAAAAATCGAGTGTATGTTATTGTGACATCGTCGCAATGCCGGGGTTGCATATTTTTTAATTTTAAACAATCACGAAAGTACTTACATAGTTAATCGGTGATTCGGCCCTTAAGCTTTTCATATCTGGTCTCGATTTTCATCTATCTAACTCCGTTCTCGAGATTAACGAAGGACAGACAGACAAACACACCTTCGCTCTTTAGAATTCCTTCGATTTCTCCATAGTCTCAACAAGTTTGACTTAACTAATTCAAAGAATATTTGTTGGATAATGATTAATTATTTTGCAAATTAAATTTACATCGGTTGCTTAATTATAATTTCATTAGTTGCGTGCATAAATTCTAATTTTTTTTGTGTGTGTGTTCAAACTTTTTCTTTTAATATATCAATTACTGTTTGAAAATGTTTAATTAGTGAATACATCGATTCCTTTGTGAAAATTATGGATAGACAAAACACTGAATTTTATTAATTTAATTTTAAAATTGAGATTTGAAGGGGGAAAATGCAATAAAAATAAATTTTTACACGAAGTATTTAAATAATTATGAAAATTAAAAATGTTTTAATATAAATTTTAGTTATTTTAATTTAATTATAATTTACAATTTTATAATATTTATTTCAGTTAAAGCACGTATAGATTTTAAAATAATTATGTTTAACAATGTTAAATTATTATTTTCACCTTTATTTTTTTTAATATAGTAAAACTTGTTTAAAACGGAACCTTAATAAAGTGAAAACCTGCTTAGACGGAAAAATTTATTCGGAAAACGGTGATTTTTTTCTGTGTTAAAAAACCTTCCAAACCGGGAAAAATATTCGGTACCGTACCAGTCCGGTTTACACAGGTTTTACTGTATTATTAAAAAAAAACAAGAAAGTATAGTAAAACCTGTCCAAAACGGAACCTTTATAAAACGGAAAAAATTCTTCGGTAAGCAACGATTTTCTGTGTTAAAAAGAAAAAAAAAACCTGTTTAAAGTGGAAACCTGCCAAACCGGTAAAACCTGAGTAAACCGGAATTGCAGCGTACCGAATTTTTTTTCCTGTTTAGGCAGGTTTTATCGTATTCGGTACCGCACGAGTCCGGTTTAGACAGGTTTTACTATAGTAAAAACGATTGCAACTTGTAAAAATATACAAATTTTATTTCGTGGAATTGCAACAATAAATTTTCAATGAAGTGAAAATCAAAGAGGTAATGAAGGATGCTCTTTTGTTCATTTACTTTCCAATTTATAGTTACAAAAGGCAATTTAGAGTAGGACTCTTATCGTTTTCTAAACGTTTTATTTTATTTTTTTTTTTTTGCAAAGACAGGAAAAAAAATAAAGAAAGCTTTCCAACAGCTTCAATTCCTGTGGTGACAGTTGGAGCACTTTAGATTGTCAACACGAGAAGTAAATCTGACTCTTACCGGGTAAATCCTACCATGTTGTCTCCAGCCAGTTTAAACCAGCATACTTTTGTTTGTCATCGTTTTCTTGTTTTATATTCTCATTCATTTGAAATTCGAGTAATGTTTATTCTTAATTCCTCAACAATTTTTATTTGATTTAATTCTTACTCTTTAAATATTGTGATATGACGAAAACTTTTACTACGAATTTTTTTTACCCAATTTGAAGCTTAATAACTTCTGTACCCTTTGTCGAAAATTTCTGAAATTTTTCACGAGGTATAATGTATTAGGGGGGAATATTTCTAGAAATTTTCAGAAAAATCGGTTTATTAGTTCGGGAGATATGGCCCACCCTTTTAATATCTTCCGAAATAATCTGGAGAATTATTAGGGATTAAAACAAATAAAAAGTAAGGGAAAGTTCAGCAATAACGTTGGTAGATTTTTTTTAAATAAGCATATAGCCCCTTTACAGTTGGCTGCTTATAATTAAAATCAATGGAATGTCATTGCTAATTGTCTCACTGAAGATTCATAATGAAATCATCGCTTATTTTAAACGTATCATTCTTTAATTTTTGTGTTCATTTATCTTTTCTGAAGTCTTCCCGGACGTCTTCCCGAATTATTTCAACCGTAAAGAATTAAAATTTAGAAAAGACTAAAGCATTAACAGATTTGAATAATTGGCAGTTGTGAAAATCCATTTATTATTGAAATAAGTCGAAAATTTAAATTATTTTCGTCGGAATTTACAAAGAAAAATCCATATATCTCTACTTCATTTACATTCATTTATCTAAACTATTTATCCATAAATACATAACTGACTAACTGAAGAGAATTTTTGGCGATTTTTCTTCGTCACATTCTCTCCAAACCTCCTTTTTATCACTTCCAGTTATATGCATAAAAATAGAAAAAAAAATGGGATCAATGACGTTATCAATCATCCAATGACGTCACTAAAATACCCATTTTCGATTGAAACCATATTTTGTAATTACTAAATCAATTCGAACTAAATTTAACCTTGGTATGAAGATTAGAAGAATGTCACAGCCTTGTTTATAAATGCTTTTGTCTGACGAAATTTATCGTTAATAAAATAATTTACACGAGTTAATTAATTTACATTTACTATACGAAAATTACGGCCATCAGAATTATTAAATTCACAATAAAATTCCTAATTCACTTTAAATGGCTCCCAAAATTCCATAAACCCAACATTAACCTATTATCAATTGTTTTTCACGGCATACTGATTATTATAAATCAAAATTTTTAGGAAGTATTAAAAATAATACAGTAAATATGAACAAATGTAAATAATTTTATGGTAATAAAAGCTATAAAATAATAGAAAATACTAAAATTGCCAACGTGTAGTTAAGATCTTATCAATGTTTGAAGTAATTTGGTCGCACGAATAAACGTAATTAAGAAATGAAAGAAGAAGAAGAAATAAATTAGAATTACTTGAAATATTGTAGCAAATTATTTACTCGAAGATTTCATATTTGTTAAAATAATAAGTTCTTTCATCTATTTTTTAAATCACCATCCTTTAATTCCTCATCCATTTCCCCCCCCCCTAATTCTTCACTTATAAAATCAATCATCCCTCATTCGATTTTGAATTTTATGTTGATTTTAGGATGAAAATTCATTTCGAAAAACTATTAATATTTAATATTTTTCTATTTATTTATGTTTTGGTATCCGATTTCTCTCTATCTTTATGGCAACGTCTATAAAGTTGCTCATTATCAACATGCACGTTCTTAAGCTTTATATATTATTTAATCTGTGCAATTTCTTATCCTAGAGATATTACTCTCTTTAGAAAAATAAAGAAGTTTTTCTTTCTGTTTGAAATATGTTTCGAGTAAGCTTGTTACCCTAGAGATAAATTTGTTGTTGGAATGAAATACATCCATTCTGAGCAAAGAGATCAAGACTTTTCTTATTTTTGAAGCTTTTCCACATTTATAACTCTGAATTTGTCGTAAACTAAGATTTTCTTTAAAGGGAAAAATAACCCGAAAGCTTTAAAGTAAAGCAGGATCAGGAGGGAAAAAGACAGAACGGAGTTTATCCTAAACATGGTGATATAAACTTAAACACGGTTTTCCGTTTTATATATGAATATACAGAAATATTCCTGATAAATATATCGTACACTGTAGAAATTCCCGTAATAAAAAGAATCTAACTACCAGAATTGATCAATTTTTTTCGTATTTCTCGTACGAAATTCTTATATTTATTCATTGATTGATTGATTAAAAAATTTTTTGACGATAAATATCGGTAAAGATCAATCGATAATATTGTTAAGAAGACAAAATTAATTATCTTATGCAAAATCGATTTCATTTTCTTTTTTTATCTTCGAGTTTAATATTAAATTTTTAAGTATTGTGTCTAGTTTTAAAGGAATCCTTTCCGTAGATAATCAAATTAATAAACTGTATATTGTCTTTATAAATCTAACTATTTCGAAAGGATTTTCTTGAAGTGAAATCCGGGATTTGTCTTAAGCGGTCTTTTTTTTATAAACTAAAAATTTGTATGAATAGAAAAAATTTGATAACATGAAAGCTTTTTCAGATATGTTCTCAATCACCTTAATATCTCGAGAATCAAAGGTTCGATTTTCCTGAAAATTTCTAAAGTTATTTCCCTCTAATACACAAACCTCCCTGCAAAATTTCAGAAATTTTCGACAAAAGACACAAGAGTTATTAAGTTTCAAAATTGGTGAACAAAATCATGTTCCTCCACACACATCCATACATATAGAAGAAAATCCCAACTTTATTTGCATTATTCGACGTTTCAAGGTTCTCTGAATGCAAAAATGCAAAAATTTAGGGGTCATTTCAGATTTCTATACTGAGCTTACGTTACGTAACAGCCAAGAAGGTAAAAAAGGAAGATTTTCTATACGAAATAAAGTAATTTTGCGTTAAAACTCCATCGATAAAATTGTTTTATAAATTTCATTTCTCTTTTCTGTGTTAACGAAGATTTTTCTAGTATAAGTTTCTAGTGTATTGATTATAGATAATCGAGAAATTTGCTTAAATGCTAAGTTTAATAAGCTTTGTTTCGCTAGAAAATTGTCAATCTTTAAAGAATTCATTTTCCAAAACAAAAAGAAAAGAGAGAATCTTTGATTGAATTCCAAATTTTATTATTATTTTTTTTTTCAGAAGCGGAACAGGAAACAATTCCTTTGGAAGAACGAAAGAACAAATCTTGTATATACAGGAACAGCGAGCCTCACCTCGTCGCCTTTCAGGGAGATCGAAAAATAACAGAAGAATTCAGCGAATTTCCGCCATTCACTGAATTGATTTTTCGATGTCGAGATATCGGAAAGTTTAGTTTAAGAGGTAGCATCCGACGAAGATGCGAAAACGGAGAATGGGACGGAGTAAAGCCATCGTGCTTTGGACTATCACAAGAGAACGATTATGCCCGTACGTGAGCCGTATTTTTTCAAAGAAATCTCTTTTCTATTTCGTTCCTTGTTTAGTTTTCTATAAAATTGATTGATTCGGTACTGTGCTTTTGACTGATTGTTTCCCTAAAGAATTTTATACAGAACAACCTGTTCAAAACGGATATTTTCTACGTTAAAATCTGCGATTTTCCATGTTAAAAAAAAAAACCTGTTCAAAATGGAAACTTATCAGAAAAATATTCGTTTTACACGGGTTTTACTGTATTTCTTACGTAACAAAACGCTTCCACAGTAATTTTCAGAAGGTAATTGCTTCAAGCTAAATTAAAATTTACGCTTGTTAGAACTTAGTAAAATCCATTTTAACCGAAAATATTGATTTAATAAGTTAATTTTTGGAGTTTTAAACGGATCTATTCTGGCATTTCACTACACCGAATAAATTGCTTACGTTCACAGAGCTTCCGTCCGTAAATACAAGTAATTAATTACAAAAATATGAAAAACATATACAGTAAAATCTGTCTAAACCGAACTCTCGCGATACCGGTTTGACAGGTTTCCGTTTTATTCGGGTTTCGTTTCCAATAAGATTTACTGTAATATTCTATACATGCAAATTGAATACCCCCCTAAATTATATTTCTGTTTAGTTGCTATTGGATTTATGTAAATTGATGGATATTTGTCGCGTATATTTTTCTAGTGGAAAAACCACCAACGATTCTATTTCGGCATCAACTGGGTCCCATAGCCCAAAGTAATGACGGAAAATTGATTGTATACCCAGGGACGATTCTTCATTTAGAGTGCTTGTGGATAAGAAAATATGGACAACCAAAATGGGAAATCAGTCATTCCTATAGAAAATATCCTGAAGGTGAGTGCTTTTGATATACTCTATCACGTCCAGGATTTATCACCTGAAAATTTATAAATATATAACCCAGTAAAAATACTGTAAATTCTTTTTCTTGATCGAGAAAAATTTAATTTTCTTTTAAATAATTATATTATGTTAATATTAAAAAAAGGAACTGTAAGACTGTAAAACAGCGGCTCGTTATCCTATGGGCAAACAGGACAATTACGTGAGAAAAATAATTTTTTATATGAAAATATTTCCTCCAACACATTCCACAGAAGAAAAATCTCTGAAGTCAACACTGTACGTGGGGCCTGTAATTCAAATTTGCCCGTTTCCCATAAAGCTATAACGCGCCACTGCTTTAAAACAATATATTAGCCTGTACTACTGTAAACCTAAGTTTTAAGCTGTTAAATTTTATTTTCGATAGAGAAAAGCATTACATATAATTACCGAATTTTTCGACGTATAAGATGCATCCCACTTTCCAAAGACATTTTTTGAAAAACCAACTACTTTATTGTAATTTTCATATAGTTGATGTGTAAAATGTATTTAGGTACAGTACATAGTTAATTGGGGGAGTCCACCTTTAAGCTTTCCATATTTTAATGGTGTCTTGCCCCTGTACATCACACTTCTCCCGATAACAATCGAGTCGTGCCGGTCATCTATCGTTGTAAAGAACATTTTCAATGGAAATCACGTGACATCTCATCAAGACCGGAAGTGCGTATATGGTTAATTGGGCCTGCCACCCTAAGCTTTCCGTATCCGGTCTCGATTTTCATCTATCTAATCCCGTTCTCGAGAAGAACGAAGAAGAAACAGGGGAAGTATTAGTATAAAATGTGAAAATTGAAGCTCAATAAAAAATATATTCTTTATATTTGACGGCGTAAAATACACACCCCATTGTCAGATATTGTTTCGTGTATAATTGCGTCTTATACGTCAACAAATACGGTAGTATCTGTATTATTCAGACGATTCTAATTTCACTTCATTGATACTTTCAAAGCATTTATTTCTCTACGCATTAAACCGAGAAAATTAAATGATTTGTAAATGAAATTATAGATAAGTTCTTGATATTTTAAATGTTTAATAGGTTGGACAAACGAGCCAGGAAGAGATCCGCAGTTAGAATATCGTTTATCAATTTACCACGCTCAAAAAGACGATTCCGGTAGATTTAATTGTATCACTCCAATGGGACATAGTCACGGTGTAGATATCGTCGTCTCAGGTAATTTTTTTTAATATAAAAATTTAAATATGAAGAGCAAAATCATTCAAAAATTACTAAATAATTTAATTATGTAGAGACTTAGTAATTACCGGAACGTAAATTTTTATTAGACTCGTGAAAAAGTGATGCCAGATAAGGAATCGATTACGTAAGCGTAGAACTACATTTAAAATTTACAAGAGCGATAATTACGAATCAATTAACGTCTGTACGTATGTATATACTATCTAAAAGGCATATTAATGCTACGAAATCATTAAAGTACTTGCAAAATCCGTATAGATAAATAAGTATGTAAATATATTTTTAAGGTGATATATTAGAAAGTGGCTTACAATTGTATTTTTTTTAATCTAAATTTTAAAGTGGGTCATTTTTTAAACTCCATAAAACTTTGTTTATTTATATATAATGCAACTTGCGAGCGATCTTCCGAGGGGGATATAACACCCGGGAGGACTGTCTACGGGAAACTGGCACCTGCTTGGTGCTATAAACACTTAAATAGGTGATAATTTCCTATAGAAAGATTAAGCTTCCCATAGAAAGGTGAAAGTTTCCTATAAATAGGTGAAGAAAATCCGGAAAACTCCGTGTGATCAGCCCGTTGGCGACAAACCCACGAGTAAACTATGTGTTCGGTGGTTCCATTAAAAATTAACGAGAACGATTTCTTACAATACAGTAATTTATTCTTTGGCTAACATAAAACACTAATACAAAAACAATAATTATTGTTATTACTCTTGTTAAGTTTTCTTACTAAATAATTTTTCTCTGCGATTTGTAGCTGTTCACTGCCCCCCACTAACAGAAGTGCCTGGTCTTCATATCAGCAATCCTAGCACAAAAATGGAAACCAAAGTGATATTTTCATGCAAAAATGGACAATCGCTCATCGGTAGCGAGCAAGCAACATGTCTTCCATCTGGAAATTGGTCGGCGCCTCCCCCGACTTGCCGAGGTCAGTTTATAATATATTTTAATTCTTCTATGTCCCAATTTAATAAACGTTGGCATAAGAACCAATTGAAAGTGATAAATGTTTCTATTTTCTTCTTGACTTGGTACGAGGCAACAGGTGGCAAAAGATCGAAAGGAAAATCGATAGAAGAATATTAACTTCCATGTTCCCGCTTTCATATTAACAGATTTTTGTTTTGTTTTCATAGTTACTCAATGCCGTGATATAACCAATGAAACGGATCCTCTGATAACGATCGAATTATCCGGATTAGAAGTTGGAGCAAAAGCTGTATTCAGTTGCCCCAAAGGATACGGACTGAGGGGTGAAGGCGAATTAATATGTCTCGACACCGGGCAGTGGTCCTCTGCGGTTCCTAGATGCGAGGGTTTGTGAAAGTTTTCCTAATTTTTCTGTCCTCTAACTGTATAGTATTATATTTTGAATTTGACGAGGAGGGCAAAAATTTCTCATTGTCGGATTTCGAGTGGATATACTCTACAAAATACGGTGTATTTGTTGTGTACAGTACAATACTCTTTTCTACTTTTAATTTTTTCTAATGTAGTATAAAATAAAATTACGTTGGAAGTGGGCAGTTTGTATGTCCCCTTTGCACCCATATACTAGTATTTACTCGTATGTTTATTTTGAATGATTTTAGTAACTTAAGATGTCAATCATTTGTAAATTAATACAAATGATCTGTTAGGGGATGTTCATAAATGACGTCCGCATTGAAAGGGAGGAAGGAGGGAGGTTACGGAATCTTGGGCAAACTGGGGCAAGAGGATGGGGAGAGTAATAATTTCAAGAAAAATGCAGAGGTAATTTATGGACAGCCCCTTTACGTATAAGGTCATAGGTATTAAGGTATACAGTAGATATATCTGTAGTACTCGTAACGATATAGATCTAAATAAATGCTTGTATTTGGATTTGGAAGAGGAAACTGCTCCTTGTTTCAGCGATTAATCCTTATAAATAGAAATGACAGACCGTAAACAAACCGTAGAAAGGTTTATAATGATGAATGAATTCAAAATTTTATGAAATGAATGACAAAGTGAAAAATTTTTCTACGTGAAATGAGAAAATAGAATGGGATTATTGCGTGAGATCTGGATAGAGAGATGTAAATCTCTGTGTGATGGGTATATAAAATGATAAACAGTTGTTGAAATATGAAGAAATTGCACTTAAAAAATGGAAAAATATTAATTCCATAAATTCCAGTAAAAGTAATTATTATATCACCATTTAATTCGGAATTTTATCTCGTGTAATAGTAGTTTCACGCGCGCGGATTGTTTTAATTGTCATAATAGCCTATACAATAAAACCTGTGTAAGCCGGAATCGCACGGTACCGAATATTTTTCCGTTTAGGCAGGTTTCCTTTTGGACGGGTTTTACAAAATACGTTATTTTTAATTATAAAAATATCACTACAGTAAAACCTCGATTTAACGTGTCTGTTATTGCAGAAAGTTCATTAAATCGGGGTGTGTTAAATCGAGGGTTTACTGTATTTAACAAAGATAAGGATACTGTAGGTCTATATTTATTATTATATATTAAATGCATAATAATTCATTTGATTTTATTAGAATTTGTATAAAAATAACATACAAATTTAAACTTTTTTTTTAATTGTAACATATAAAAATAATTTAATTAATTAATACATAATTTACCCAGAGATTTTCTAACAAATTCAACTGCTAGCTTAATGCCTGCAATTTAAACTATTGTATTGAAATCAAATAACGATTAATATTTAGCGTTTAAAACGCTGTTTAAGGTGATAACTAATGATAACGATTGCGTGTTATCAGCAACATGTTGAGAATGATAACCGGAAGAGACTAATAATGTTAAAATATTTCAAAAGTTTTCTTTAAAAAACGTTCTTATTGGTCATGTTTTCCGAGATTGGGATGCGGAGGAATGTGGGAATATCTCCCTCACCATCCTCCATCTTCAAATAGCCCAGACAAATTTGAATTAAGGGCTCCATGTACTGTACAGTGTTGACTTTAGACATTTTTCTTCGACAGAATATTTTTGGGAGAAAATACTTTCTTATAAAAGATCGGTTTGGGGCCCCAGATAAATGCTCGTTTTGATCATAGGATAACTTGTCACTGCTTCTCAGTGTATTAAATTCTACATTTGCTTATGTTTATTTACTTCCCGATTGGAAGATGATAAGGGAGAGGCCACCCCCTTGTGACATCACTAAAATGTATTGTCATCGGGCTTAGTTTTAGCCCGTTATCTTATGGGCAAAAAGGGAAATTGCTTGGGCCCCCATCAACAGGGAACCCTAAATATTTTTGGGGCCGCAGTTCAAACTTTTATAATATGAATTTAATGAACTTTAAAAACAATAATAATAATAAATTTGATGGCAATAAGTCTGATATTATTGATGATGTTAAGTGAGCATTGACAGCTAATGATGATAACGAATTTCAGAGTTATTGAGTGTGATCCATTATGGAATATCCCAGCTGAAATATCTTGTGATGTCTACCAATAAATAAATAAATAAAAATAAAAAAGATTCTTGGTAATAATACTTGAAGGAAAAAATAATCGATCATTTTGGTAAACTACAGAACAAAAGAAATAAATTTTTTAGGAGGTAGAAGAAAAATTGTGTTGCGGTTATTGTCTCTTAATTGCACTTATTGGAATCTCATAAAACGTTGTATTGTACGTTATTTCTCTGTACAACTTGTATTGCGCTTATTATATACTGTATTTATAATGTGGGCAGTAGTGTGAGTTAGGAAGGGCCCTACTTACTTTTGTAAGTAAATAAATTAAGAAAAATGAAGATTCTTAACACGTGTATACCTGTCCAACACGGAAATCTACCGAATCGGAAAAAAATATTCGGTACCGTGCGAGTCCGGTTTACGCAGGTTTTATTATATATACAATAAGTGAGTTTACCTTTTATCCACAGTAGTGAATGTAGGTAGGAATGTGGGGATAAATTGCTAATTTTTATGTACAGTAAAACCTGTGTAAGTAGGAATCTACGGTACAGAATACTTTTTCCGGTTCGGCAGGTTTCCGTTTTCAACGGGTTTATTTTTAACATAGAAAATCGCTTTGTTCCGAAGTATTTTTCTCGTTTAGAAAGGTTTCATTACGGTTCCGTGTTAGACAGGTTTTACTGAAATTAAACGCATTTATAATATAATCATTAGAAGTTATCATTAATGAAATTTACATTAATATTTTGTAAGATCGTGCGCCAAATAATATATTTCTATACTTTTATTTGAACAAATGAAACCCGTGAAAGGTACATTACATTACAGAATTTGTGTAATTTCAAAAAAGAATTTATGAAAAATGGATTTGATGAGATAAAAATAGTAGAAAAAATTATTCGTCCGTAAGAACGAATCTAAATTGAAGTTATCGAATGGAAACATTTAGAACTGAGTGAAAATCAAAAAGTTTTAAGTCGAATGTGTAGTAACAAAACAGGAAATGAAAGAAAAATAAATTGGGAAAAACCTAAAAAAACAATTGTTACAAATTGTTAAATATCAGGAAAAAAACAGGAATAAGAAAAATGTTATTTAAATCGTAATGATTTAAATCTAAAGAGATTTGAATAGGATCTCCATAAATTATATGATTACCAAAGAATGATATCAATGCAAGGAATTGTGTAAAGTTAATTTTTTTTCTTTATTTCGAGTGTAAAAAAAGGAAAGTATTGTAATTATTTATGCAAATAAAGAATTTAAAAAGTCTTAAATTCCGAGAAAAACAAAGAGAAAATAGATTGTGAGATAACGAGTCTCATAAATAAGAAACTAAAGAGTCTGGAAATCCAATTTCGATTAATTCGAGAGATAATTAAAATCGAAAATTTTTATAAACGTAACTCGAAACCCTATTACAGTAAAACCTGTCTAAAGAGGAACCCGAATAAAACGGTAACGGAAAAGAATTCTTCAAAACGGAACTATTAAAAATAAAACCTGTTGGAAACGGAAACTTTGCCAAACCGGAAAAAAATATTCGGTGCCGTGTTATTCCGTTTTATACAGGTTTTGCTGTATTTGTAACTTATTTATTAATTTTTTTACGAAACTATATCAATAGAAACGTTTCGTATAGTAAAACTTTTGTGTAAACCGGACCCGCTTTGGTAGGTTTTCCGTTTTAGACAGGTGTTACTGTATTAGTCCAAAGAACACGAAATTCAGATCGATAAATATTGCAAAAACTTATCTTTTGATAAAGATTTTTCTGAACCAATGTCCATAAAAGTAGGATATTGACTACGCCTGAAAGAAATATTTTCTTGAAATTGTTACTCTGCCATTAAAATTCCTTCACGTCTTCTTCTGGTTGTAATCTTATTACTTAGATTATATTTATTTTCATAATCATATTTCTTAGACTTACACATAAATATAATTCACTTTTTTATTCCTCCAACATAGATAATTCGATCGGAAGAATTTCACCGAAAAAATTATCCAATTAAATAAAAAATGCAGCGAAACCTGTGTAAACCGGACTTGTACCCTACCAAATACAGTAAAATCTGTCTAAACGGGAAAATTTTTCGTTCGCAGTGATTTTCTTTTTTATTTTAAGAAACCTGAAAAAGTATTTGGTACCGTGCGAGTCCGGTTTAAGCAGGTTTCCGTTTTGAACAGGTTTAAGTAATATATACGAGATAAAAATTTCAATTTGTGTTTAATAAAAAAAAGTTTATTAAGAATTTTTCAGCGAAATTCTGAAAAAGACAAATTTATGACATATTTAAGAATTCCTATAAAATCAAAGGAAATGATGATTGCATTAAATTCCCTCTGTATTTTGATGGAATCCAGGGAATGTTTTCTAAATTCTCTCTTTAAAAGAATTCAGAAATTTTAGATTAGAATAAATGGAAAATCAGAATTGTGAAGTACATAAATTCTCCTCTATAGATATTTTCGATCCAATATGTTGCGAAATTGCATCTCTTCAGTGTCATTTTTAGGAATTTGCCAATATATATTTTTGTTCAATGGAAACGTATGACTGTTAGGACTTTCTCTCCCTCTTATCATTCAGTATATATCAATGCAATTTTAGTATTATATACGATTTTTATATGGCAATATTTAAACTCATTCGAGCTTTGTAATTTTTATCTATTCGATTCAGAAAAATTTATGTATCTATTCCCCATACTATTATACTTTTCGATCAAATCGGTAAACTTATTTACTTTTTGTAAATATTTTATGCTAACATAAACAGATATTTTAATATTTAAAATCGAGTTTTATTTCTATTTTTAAATTTAACCTGCTTTGTACGTCCTAAAACCTTGCTACTCAAATCCATCCACTTTTAATTAACATACAAAGGTCGAAACTTAAGTCCGATGACAATGAATTTTTATGATTTTTAGGGGGTGATCCACCCCTACGGGAATGGACCACCCCCTAGCTTCATTCCTACGGGGGATTTTTTGGGGGAAGTGTTTTCTTATAAAAGATTGGTTTGGGACTCCCTGTTGATGGAGGTCCCAGGCAATTGCCATTTTTCCCATAGGATAACGCGCCATCGCCAATAAAAGCATTTTTTTAAATACGTTAAAATTATTAACTTAAACATTTTAAAATTAAATATAGAAGAAGAAATTATTTTAATGTGTAAAAAAGGAATCCCAACACTATTACGAGATGAAATTTTTCGATAAAAATTGTAAATCCTGTAAGAAAAATTGCGGTTAAAGGGGAGAAAAGTCAACTAAATTCAAATCTATTTTCAGAGGTTTCTTGCGTACCACCAGACACACCCGAGCACGGTTATCTTCAAGATAGTAGCAGAGATCATTACGGAGGAGGAGCCTTGTTGCAGTTTGCATGTAATACTGGATATATGATAGACGGAACACCCATCATCGTCTGTCAAGAAAGTGGAAGGTGGTCGGCTCCGGTACCAAAGTGTGAGTGAAAATTGATATAAGATTTATAATAAAAACCGGTAAATTTATAGCATTATGTAATATATAAAGTTATGGTATCGTTGGCATGGGTATAAATATTCCACAATTTGTTTTAGATTTGTTGCCTGAGCTCTGGTATTGTTCCTCCGAAAAATGATAAATGCAAACCGGAAAGGAGGAAACTTCGTGTTTAACATTGCTAATCCGTTGTTAGTGCCAGCTGTCGCCTTTGTGGCACTATTAATCACGAGTTGCCATTTGCATCTTCTTAAGAAAAACAACAACCATTGGCTTTTTAACATTAAACGCCGAACGGCGTAGGATGAATGAATAATGATGGGGGGAAAATGGTTTCTAGAATAAACGTGAATAACTATCACTTTATAAAAATCGTGACCATTATATCATTAATTAAATGCTTAAATAAAATTTTAATTTTTACATTGTAAACATTTTAATAGATTACATTTAAAGCCCATCGAAAAATCAATCGATTCGGTTTTAAAAACACTCGTTGCCTTAATATTAATATTTCATTCTTGTAAAATTACGTACTTAAAGGCTGATCGTAACCCCCATTCTGTCATTCACGCGGTTTCCAGCAGATGGCGTTGAAAATTTAATGCTTTTTCTATGGTAAAGTCCTTTTCCAAAATTTCTCTAAAACGGAAGTAGATAGAACCAAACGGTTTTTTGCATTAGAACCATATTTAACCCCTCTATCAATGCACGGTTCGGAATTCTGAAAATCAAATTCGTTAATTTTCTATGAATTTTTAAAATCGCAAAAAAATTAACGAATTCGAGTTTTAAAATTCTGAACCGTACGTTAATAGACAGATTAAATAGGGTTCTAATGAAAAAAACCGTTTTGTTCTATCTACCTCCGTTTTAGAGAATTTTAATAAAACGACTTTCCCATAGAAAAAGCATTAAATTTTCAAACGCCATCAGCTGGAGATCGCGTGCACGACCGAAGAGATTACAACCAGCCTTAAAATTAATTGTTGCTCCGATAATTAAAGCAATTTCCTTTTCTTTGTTCAGGTGTACCAGCTTGCACTTATCCCGGTACGACGACAGGTGCAACAATTTCTAACGTCAAGTTCTATTATAGTATCAATGAAACTGTTACATTTGATTGTGCTGATGGATATGAACTTCGAGGTGCGAAGATGTTAAGATGTCTCGAAGACGGACGATGGTCGAGCACAATACCGACTTGCCATATAGCTAGAAAAGGATAGATAACAGTAGTTAAAGATATGCATCATCTGGCATCATTTATGCATACAACGAAAATCGGGTTGTTACATTATCATACGCTAATTATTCTGTATTCATCGGTAGATTATTGCTGAAAACAACACAAAAATAAATCATTTTTCTTCTAATAAAACTGGTTTTTAGATCTACTGTTTCTAAACGCTATATTTCTTTAAATTTAATGTTTTTTAATCTATAACTAGAATTGCCAGATAACCCGATTTTCCGGGACTGTACCGGATTTTTTCCGGCTGCCACTACCTTTTTCTTTCTTTCACGTCTTAAATGTATTTCTGTCGCTGGCAGAGTGAAAATATACATTCATTGCATGTCCTGGAATTGAAGTCTTCCAGTGTCTTTCGGGACCCACAAATGGCCGAGTGGATGAAACAACTGAACACTGGGACTTGGTCGTGGGTTCTATTCCCACCAACGGACCGGCCACGTGGAGTTTTCCGGGTTTTCTTCACATTTGTAACACCTAAATAGGGGTCAGTTTCCCTAGAAAGTTTCCTCCCCTTCGGCAGATCGCCCACGTGTCGCTTTGCTAATAAACCAATCCCGTATTTTCGTGAAAAACTCATTTTATCCCCAAATATATGACGACCCTATCTCTAACCACCTTATGACTGCCGAGAAACATTTATTTAAAGACGTTTTCAGCCTAATTTATGGGCCATCTTCGGGTGAGATCAAACGATCTCACCCGAAGATGGCCCATAAATTAGGCTGAAAACGTTTGTGAAATCTTTAAATAAATTCTTCTGGGCAGTCATAATCATAAAGTGGTTAGGGATGAATTAACTAATTATTTCTCTCTGCTGGGTGTGATTCAGATTCTTATTATTATTATTATTATTTAATATAGAAGTAGTAAAAAGTAGAATTTTAGGGGTATAGAATAGTTACAAAACAGATAATAAGCTTACTCATTGGTTAATATTTACTACGCGTTGTAAATATTAATCAGGGGGAATTTGCATAACCATTATGTAAATAGTTACAATAATTAAACATTTATTCATATGTATTAATCAAATAATTAAACAAAACCAATTAACACGTGTGCGAAGTTTAGAAAATTACTGTCGCATTGTTACTGCAGTAGCATAGTTTTCTGTTTGAAAATTCTAGTGATTTTTCTGGGAATAAAATCACGATAAATTGTTTATTATTTTTCCTAATTAACATTAATTATATTTAATCGTTATAACGTATAATAAACTCGAGTTTTATTCCGACGTAAGGCGATACGATAGATTATTATTGACACAAATCTGTTACTGCATTGGGCATTTTAATAATAAAGTCGATGCACTCGCTGACCGTAATGCAAATTCTAAAATCTCTATTACTATGTTAAATTAATTCGTTAACTCGTTTGTAAATTTGAATACGAGATAACTTATTTACATTAATATTTGTTTATTTTAAATGTAACATTTAAACTAATTTATGTTTACGGTTCTAGTGAATTTTATTTAATTTTACATTAGACGTATATTTTTGAGTAGTTTTACTTTCCTGGCTGTCATATAACAGAGGAAAAGTATGGCGATCGGTTAAAAAATAACCTCCTCCCTCAAAATTTTTACATATTTTGGACTCGGGAGACCTTTAAAAGTGAAGAAATGCAAAAAAATTTGTGGTATTTTACTGTATGTATGTGTGTGGTGGTACGATTTTGAAGCTTAATAACTCCCGTGCCTTTCGTCGAAATTTTCTGAAATTTTGCAGGGAGGTTTGTGTAACAGGAGATAAGGTTTCTAGAAATTTTCGGGAAAATCGGACTATTGGTTCGGTAAATATGGCTCCATCACCCTAACTAATCTGAAGTCTTATAATGGTAGCAATTATTAAGGATGAAAACAAATGAATGACGGGGAAAGTCTAGCAACAACGTTGCTAAGATATTTATTTTACTTTTTATTACATATTAATTATATTTTAGGGTTTCTGCGAATATTTTTTGAATTCATTTTAGTAATGTTTTATAGCGATGTTGATGAATGCCATTAGTGCCATTGATGGTTTTTTCATGACATCACTAATAGTTGCGTTAACGTATTTTGAATAACATCTGCTCGGGTTAAAGATGTCAAATTTCGAGACGTGAACGTGCAAATCTTGCATCAGTATATATTAAAAAGCAAATTCTTTCACATAAATTCTAAAACAAAATTAATAATTCATACGTATTTGATTCACGAAACGTTTCAAAAATATTTGTTTTTATCCTTATTTTTATAAACTAAAAAAAATAATATGGATTTACACGAAAGTCTTAAGCATTATCTTGTGAATAATTATGCACTTTTATGAGTAAAATAATTTAAAATAATTAGGAAAAAAATTATATACTAGATGGAGACACCGAACATTAGTTGCGAGGTCAGTAATCACAAGGTCAACGCCATTTTTTTTTTTAAGTTTTCACAACGTGAATGATGTAAATCCAATAAAGCTCGAGCTTATGACGAAATCGTTTCCACATGTTTTAAGATAATTGCGTAATAATTTTATTTTTAAATTTCTTATTAATTGATTAAAACGCCTACTTAAATTACATACCCTGTCACAACTTTTTTTTTATATGATACTTTCAATAAAATATATCTTTTGTTGTTTTAAGAAAGAGGAAGAAGAAGCTGGAAATGAGATGATAAATATCCCTAGGCATAATACATCCCTTTATTTTCTGATGAATGTGTATTGCCGTATTAAATTTCTTTGATGAGTAGTATCACTTATTAAGGATTTAAGTAGGATAGGCCCTACTAAATACAGTATTTTAACAATTAAAAGTGATCTGTAATTGTTAAAATATTTATTAAGGCCTATACTTAAGTAACAACTAGGAAGCCGAGGCTTAAAACTTAGAGGCCCTTCATTTCATTTCTTCAAAAAATAAAAGGCCCGCTTAGAGGCAAACGGGGTCCTATCCCCACCTCTATCCCCGTCATACAAGCTCTCGATTTAAATGCTAGTATAATATTTATACGCGATTATATCAAAAATACGAAAATCTTTAATTTATATCCTGTAATTATCTATTTTTTAGATTAAAACTGATGATAACTTCATAATATTCCAGTAATTAAGAGGGATAACAAGGGTAAAACCAAGATTTCCCATCTCTATTCGGTAAACAAGGGGGGGATTTTTTTTTATAACATTATTATTATCCAAGTTGCGTGCAACCAGGGAAAAGAAGATACGAAGTTTACAGTAAATTTATAGTCGAACTCGACCCTAATACGTCAACACTCGTTAAATTCATCTACCAAACTAAATATCAATTCCAAGAGTAAACAAGAATAAAAAAAAAATAAAACAAGTTATCCTACAGCTAAACCTGTGTAAGCCGGACTCAGAATTTTTTCCGTTTAGGCAAGTTTCTGTGTTATTCGAGTTCCATTTTGGATAGGTTTAACTGTATTGAAGAATATAATCGTTAAGAAAATCGCGTAATATTCCGAATTTTTTATTGTTGGAGGGGGCATTTATGTTTAATGTGTTGCGTAGACACGACATTGTTCGGGTGATGAATGCCAAACAGAAAATGGCATCTGCTTAACATTGCTAATCCGTTGTTAGTGCCAGCTGTCGCCGTTGTGAACTATTAATCACAAATTGCCATTTGCATCTTTAAAAAAAGAAAAAAATTATAAAAACAAGCATTAAACGATCGAATATCGAAAAATTGAATGAATGATACATTAAAACCTGTCCAAAACGGAACCTGAATAAAACGGAAACCTGCCTAAACGAAAAAAAAAACACTTCAGAACGAAGCGATTTTCAATGTTAAAAACAACCCTGTTCGAGACAGAAACCTGCCAAACCGGGAAAAATATTCGGTGCCGCGCGATGCCGGTTTACGCAGGTTTTACTATACTAAACAATCGAAAGATATTTGTATATATAGTAAAACAACTAGGCCAAGGATACGCTTTTTCCTATTATTTTAACTGTAATTAGCGATGAGAAAATTTCTATACGACGTCCCTCATCATTCCTGAATAAAATTAGCGACTAAGTAAAACCTGTGTAAACCGGAATGTCTTGGCAGGTTTCCCTTTTTGAAAAGGGGTTGTCTTTAACATAGAAGATCGCACCGTTCCCAAGAATTTTTTTCCGTTTAGGCAGGCTTCCGTTTTATTCAGGTTCTTCTTTGGATAGGTTTTACTGTATTTTACCATACAGTAAAATCTATCCAAAGAAGAACCTGAATTACGGTAAAACCTGAATTACGGTAAAACCTGTGTAAACTGGAATCGCACGGTACCGAATTATTTGTTCCGTTTAGGAAGGTTTCCGTTTTAAACAGGTTTTACTGTATAGGCCTTTTGTATTTGTTACACCTAAAAGCTAGTTTAAAGCAACCCTGTTTAAAACGGAAAAAAATATTCGGTACCGAGCGATTCCGGTTTACACAGGTTTTACCGTAATATTAATAGAAAATTTCGAAAACAGATTTAGGCGATAGACACTAGACTTATTTTAACTCAGGAGGGCCTCTAATTGTTTTACTAATGGCTTTAACTTATTATCAAAAGACGTTCCTGGGAATCCCCCAAAGACACCCGAAAGGCTAATAAAACCTCTTAAGCGAATTTAATGCTTTACTTCACACCACATTTTCTACGAATTTACCTAAATTTAACCCGTCCCAGCTTTCACAGCCAATAGGAAGGAGGGGGGATTATGGAAATAAAATGAATATTTTCCACTCAGATGAAGGCATTAAATCAATATATATATTATTCTAAACAATATTATGAAACTAATTTATATATTTGAAGGTTATTATATTATTTATTACCCGGAAGCCAAATATATATAGGACATTTCGTTATGAATGACATCTATAAGCAACCGGTTTCGACTTTCTACAATCGAGCTTCCTGCGTTGTCACTATTACTTCTTAGTGAAAAGTTTTGATAAATATCTTATCAATGACATTGCCTTTCATAAAATAAACCGTAAACACGGTATATCTAATAAAACAGTAAACTGTATTTGGCCAAAGTTAAAGTAAGAAAGTAGAAGAATCTAAGAATCGAATCACTTGTGTCTTGTCATTTCGATCTCTATCGAAGTGGATTATATCGAAAGTGTGTTAGAAAGATACAAGACTAACCGGTAATCAGGTAAAGTTGTCCGTCGGCGTTGTGTGAAGTGACATGACCGGCACGATTGCTGCAGGTGCATTCTGTTCGGAGAGACACCATCTGCTAGGTAGGTTGTTATATAGAACTACATGCTTTACGTGTTGCGTTGTGTTTTCTCTTATCGTTTTCCCTAGTTACGTTTGTCTTCCTCAGCTCGTAAGTAAATTATTTTTAAAAACATTTAGAATTAAGGTTATATTTTAGCTCTAAACTAACAGGGATGGCCACCCCTCTTAGTTCGGAGTTATAAACAGAGGAGGGGGGATTATTAGTATTTTAACGGATAGAAAACAATAGATAGATGTCCGAAATTAAATTTGTAAGATGCATTTTAAACTAAATCGATATAAAATACTTTCTGTAAATACAACAGACGTAAACAATTACGATTGTGCAATAAGTAAAATTGCAAAATATTCGAAAAATCCGTTTGCGTAACGAAGTTAATTACCCATTAGGATATTAGTAAACGTGTATTTGAATCATCCCGTAATGTGATTTTATAAAATATTATTTAAAATATGAGAAAAAGCAATTTATATTCCTTTAAGTATGCGCGACATTTTGCTGAGTTGTCATTTATTCGAGTTTTTCAACCGTATACGCACGAATAATTTCAAACTAAAAAAAAAAAAACAAAAAAAATATTGACTGTGGAATGTTTTGCGAAATAAAGTAAAAATGAAAAATTACACATAAAAATAGATAAATAAATAAATTTCATTAGAATGAAACGTAATACACGGGAAGAAGTTTTGCTAATTACTAAAATTTAATAATCATGCTTAGATAAAAACAATTACGTAGACTTTGTACCGTATCATTTAACTTACTCATCGAGTAACACAGCAACCTGTACACATTGTTTACAACTGTACTGTATTCACACACACAAGTTTTTCCCTCTAAAATTTACTTTACACCAGTTTAATTTACTAGAAAATTGTCTAGTTACTACTAATTTTTAATCTATTTTAAATGATATTAAATTTCTGTAGTGTATTGTTTTCGCGCAGTAAAACCCTACCTAAACGGGAAAAAAATACTTCGAAACGTAGCGATTTTCTGTATTAAAAACAGCGTAAACCTGCCAATATATCCGGTTTACACAGGTTTTTACTGTATTACAAATTTATTTATTTAGAAAGTAAATAATCCGTCGACGGAAGAAAGATTAAATTTGCATTGTCCAGCTTTACTGTATACACACTAGATAGACGTGTTAACTGACACTAGATGGAGACACCAAATATTTTTACGTGTCCGGGGGGATGAGAAAAATCTATTTTCTTTAAAATATTTTTGGGTAGATTGATAATGACTGTGTTGGAATAGTCTATTAATCATGTTAACCGTGTACTTAATTTCTGCTCGACTCGCTTGTTGTAGTTTGGTATATAAATCTATTTTAATCATATTTAAATATTATATAATTAAATAAAGGTGCGTTGGTTCGAAAAATTTTTATTGTATTCATTCAATAGGCATTTTCTTTTTAAAAATATTTTAAAATAAGCATCTATTTATCTCTCTTAAAATCAATAAAGGACGTAAATGCTTCTCAAGGTTGCATAATAACAACTCTTTCTTTCTTCTCATTGTGTATTGCTCTTTTCTACTCCGGTTTGATCGATTCTTTATTGTTCGTATCATTTGATGAATTTTAAAAGGGGAATTAGAAGAAAATGGCCTTATCAAAGAGAATATTTTCCGTGCTCTATCTCTTCTCTAACGTGGAAAAAAAAATAATTAAGTTTCTTTCTTTTTTAAAAAATTTCGTACTATCCGCTTCATTTTACTGCGATTAATTTTATTAGCAGATAAAAATTTATTTATTGTAATTAATTTTTTAATAGTTAATAAATAAATAAGGAGGTTAGTCAGTGGCGCGTTATCATATGACAAAAAGAGAAATTGTCTGGGCCCCCACTAACAGTGGGCGCCAAATAAATCTTTTATAAACTGATTATTGTAGTAAGAGTATCGAAATTTTAAATTTGGGCCACATCTGGGGACCCTAGATTGTCGGTGTGGCGCGGGGTGCACTGGCACAACGTTAAAAAATGAACGAGGATATCGGAGGGGGGATTCACCTAAGAAAAATGCTTGAACGCTGTTCGCGGGGCCCCGTGGAGTTATGAAGCCCCACTGATGTTATAAGCATATAATACACTCAGAACCGCTGGAGGTTTTGTGGGGCCCTAAAATATTTGCAAAAAGAACTTTATAATTTATGCAGAATTTATAAATCAGGTTTCCGAGTTAATTTACTGGACAAAAAAGTATGCCATTAAATAAACACGATCACCACTAAAACAACATACTTCGGCCCGTAACCTGCGCATAATACGCCAACGTTAATGGCAACTATTTTAAGCAATAGCATCATCCTAAACCTACATCTTACCTTGATAAGAAAGGAAATAATTCAATATTTAAACAATTTAAAATATTCCACGTTTTATTTTTATTCCTTTCGATAAAAATTACGAGTCCAGAGATGATGGTAATTATCGATTAATTCGTTTATTAAAGGAGGGATTTATATATATGTATATATTTGCTTGAAAAGCGAATGAAAACATATGTCTTATGGCGGCATGTACTGGTCCACATTTGAATCTCGAAATGAGAACATATGTTGAGCAAGTGATGGAGAGTGAGTGAAGTCAGCTCGAGGGTAAGTGACAGTTATTCTCGAGCGTATGACGAAACAGATAGCTCTGTGAATGCGAGTCATGGGTGGTGTCAACAGTAAACTTCGCAATTCCACTCGATACGGTAAGTGCAGTACTTTAAAACAAGGTTATTTTTATTAGAGCCGCAAGTGGCACTCTTAAAAATTAAAATCGAAACAGAGAATTCTTAATTCTTTCGTTCTAAACGACTGCATTTTAAATGAAAACACATTTACTACTAGGTGCTTTAAATATTAAAATTCGTATTTTACAGAAAATTTTTACTTAAAACCTAATTTCCCCTTTATAAATATTACCAACAGATGTTTAACTCCAGCTTATATTTGTCTCTCCCCCTCCATCTGTATGCTCAATGACTAACGTACGACGTAAGAACACTACGATTTTTATTTTCGTCCAGTCACACGTCTCTTTATATAATATTTAAAATAATTAAATTAAATAAAGGATAGTTTCCTGTTAAACAAATTGTGTAATGGCATTCGGTTGAGAAATATCGACTTATGAATAGAATTTAAAAATACGATAAAGCATTATGTAATTTTTTAAAATTTCTTTATTGAAAATGGAGAAATTCATGTGCCAATGAAGTAATAAATCGAGTAATGGAGCCATTATCTTATTAAATATTATTTTTGAAGCGTATATACCCGTCACGCTGTCACGAATAAAAGAAAAATGTCACAATTGTCTCCACTAAGTATGACAGCAGTTCCTCCTTAGTAAAGTGTAGTGTTTCGGGAATCTTTCCGCTTATTTTCATTGGATTTTTCTAAAATAAAAGGTATATTTTAATTATATTTTAGCTTTAAAATACCTACTCGATTTTGTTTAATTAGAGTAATTTTTTTAAATGGTAAAAATATGGAATTAGAACGAACAAAAAGTTTATAAATGAGCAGTTTTTATTTATTATTTATAATGTGTTTGGTTGCAATTATCAGCACGCATCTAGCAGCGACCGCATTATTTATTGACATTTATTAATAAGACAGTTTGACATGGTTTCTCATGCTGCGTTAATTATTAAATTGGAGTTTTCGGACTTTCCTTTTGTCACTGAATTGATTTACTAGTTAACTGTCGAATAAATATCGAAAAGTTGAAAGTTTAATCATACAGCTGATATGCAACGTCTTAACTTTTAGTCTTTAATGTGTTCCAATGGTAAACGTTCAAAGTTTAAAATTCGTACAAACTGATAATTTAATCTAATGTTTTCTCTCGAAAAATCTTTAATACAATAAAACCTGTCTAAAACGGAAACCTGACAAGCCGGAAAAAAATATTCGGTTTGTGTACAGGTTTCGCTGTACATAAAAGTTCGACGTTTTATTCGAACTTTATGGTATTTTCGAGGGGGATATTTTACCTGTTTGTGAAGGAAAACTAATTTAATTTTATACAATAAAGATATGTGACGTCAACGTTTTTCTCGCTTCCTTGAAAACGTTGAAAATTAACTTGTCTTAGAATGAGTTTATAACACACATTTGACCTTGTCCTTTACGCATTTAACTACATTACATTGAACACTTCGATACAGTAAAACCTGTGTAAGCCGGAATACTTTTTCGATTTGGCATGTTTTCGTTTTTAACAGTGTTGTCTCTAACATACTTCGAAAATCACTTCGTTTCGAAGAGATTTTCCCGTTTAGACAGGTTTCCGTTATATCCAGGTTCCGTTTTGGATAGATTTTACACCAATACGAGTAGCTTTTAAATCCATTTTGAACGACGAATGCAAATATATTCGAAATTTGATTTGAATAATCAACTATTCTCTTCGGAATTTTACATTAATGTACAAAAGTGGATAAAGTAATTTTGTAAAATTACAATTTTAAAGTAAATTATACGTCATAAGTTGGCTTATTAAAATATTGTAAAAGTAGAGAGAACGTCACACAAGAGGCGCCGTGGCTTAGTTGGTTAAAGCGCCTGTCTAGTAAACAGGAGATCGCGAGTTCGAATCTCGCCGGTGCCTCGGTTAATTCTTATGTTTTAAATTAAGAAATTAGCTTAATTTAAAACAGAAAAGTCGATTTAGTATAATTTTATTTATTTTCCAACAATATTAAACGTATTTTATCTTATAAAATAATTATTTTTACAATAAAACATGTATAAATTGGAATCGCACGGTACCTCTTAGGCAAGTTTCCGTTTTAGACAGGTTTTACAATATATTAAGATTTAATTAATTATATCCTGAGTTATATTTGCCTTGACTAATTGCAAAGCTGTAGTTGATTAAGATTTCTCGAGAGTAAAGGTCGTTTACTCCATTGTAACTTTTCACTTAACTTTTCCCTTTCAACTTCGATTCTTTTTAATTGTTTGCATAATAAAAGAACATTTATTTGCCATCCTAACATTCAATAGCTTATTTGAATAGCACACTACACATAAAAGGAATACTTTAACTATGTTATTCTGTTGAATATTTATCAACTAAAGGCTAACAACTTCCAGAGCATCCTGTTATTGTTACACTTCATAAGTTTTTCATAATATATTCTCTAATTTACCAGGAAAATTGGGTTATTTTTAATGCTTTATCATTAAATAACGATTGCCGAGCTATTAATATAGCAATTAAATTACTGCTGAAGTTCTAATTTATATCAAAATTGATTCGTACTTAATTCAAGGATATATTATCTTGCATTTCTCGTCTTTATAGACGAAAAAAACTTGTGTGGCCGGCCAACCACATGTCTTGATACATATGTAAAGTTTCAAATAATTCTTGGAACTTCTCTACTTTAATAAATCATGATTTAACATTCAACAGTTTGTTTAGTGTGATTATAATACTTAATATTTTATTTTTTATGTTATTAAATCGAAGCAATGATTTACTTTGAGTTTGATTTTAGCATGGTTTAAAGGTAAAAAAATATTAAAAAAATAATACAAATTCATCATTGCCCCCTCCACGATTCCATAAATTATAATTGTAAAAGTGTTGAGATGCAGTAAAACCTGTGTAAACTGGAACATTTTTGTTTAATTTGGCAGGTTTCCGTTGTATTCGGGTTACGTTTTGAACGGGTTTTACCGTATGTAACTTTACACCCTCGATCATAGGACACTGTTTTAAAAAAAACTCCAAAGAAAAGTATTCGGCATAGTATCAGTCCGGCTTACACAGGTTTCACCATATATCACTTGGCTTATCGTAGAATTGAATTAACGTAAAGAACACTTTCAATAAACATAAAAATGCCTTAAGACTCAACAACAACTAAAGTGGTATTGGCTTATCAAAATAATTAGTCTGATGAAATTACTTACTTCTTTTTCTTATTTATTAAGTATTCGATACGGAGTACAGTTTTGTATATTTTAATTCAATTATAATCTAGTTATTTTTCTTACGCCGTTACATTTTAATTAATGAATATTGAATAGCCGAGTGAAGTTCATATTTCCTATCGAGATTTACAGTTAAAAATATCAAATTTTCCTACTTTTTCCTTAATTTCTTTTTACGCCAAGCGTTTAAATTACAATTTGATAATGTAAGAAATTTTAATGTTTTATTTTATTTTATTTTTATTTTTTTAATTTTCTATGGGGAATAAAATAGTTTCTTGTGTACTTGTAAGTAATTAGATTTTTATTTTTAACAAAGTCACTTAATCTTCCCCTCTTGTGCTACAAAAAATATATATATAGGCTATACTTTAAAACAGTTCTGTGTTAAAAATAAATTAAATATTTAACCAGTGGAGGATTTTACCAGAAAGTAAAACAAGCAACTGCTTGGGGCCCGCTCTGAGAGGGGCCTCCTTTCCCTTTATGCGTTAAGAAATTGTAATGTATATTAAAGATAAACGAATTAGTGACGCGTTATAGTTTCGTGGGGCCCGGACGAATTTGAATTAGGGGGGCCTCGCGTACACTGTTAACTTCGGAACTTTTCTTCCGGGGAATGTTTTGCAGAAAATATTTTTTTATAAAAGATTGGTTTGGGATCCAGATTGATGGGGGCCACACGTAATTGCTCTTTTTGCCCATAGGATAAAGCGCAACTGAAACGAGTTTAATTTTTCTTTTAATTTCTACCTTTCTTCTGAATTTCACGTTTTTGTTTTTATTTTTAGTTGCAAGGTGGCCCGAAAAATTTTAATTGCTCGAAGCCCCTTGGAAGGTAAATCCGGCGCTGTATTTAAGTGAAATTTGTTAAAATTAGTTGTTTATTTAACTGAATATAGATTAATACGACTAATACCAAGGTATATTGTCTCGTTATCTCTATGTCACATGATAGGAAATGATGTTTGAAATCAATAACCGGCCATAGCAATAAGTGATAAGATTACCTGCAGATTTAGCTTGACACGTAACTGCCTTTTAGTCTCCTGTGATGTAATCGTGTAGGTTGTATTTCTCTTCTCATAATTTTTCGATCGTAGGTAAGAGTTGTTTCTAGTGTTACAGCAAATTAATCGACGAATGTAATTAATTAATCAAATTTTTACATATTATTTTAAATAAGAAGTAACTTAATATTTCAATGAAAGTATCGTAAGATTAATTACAAATTATAATGTAAAATACGTTACAAAATTGGTAAATTGTAAGTAATATATATTCGTGTACTATACAGCAACTGTATAATATATTAAAACTTGGCACGAAATTAATTAATTAAATTCATAAATATTGTATATAATTTAAATTTTATTAATGTACTATTTCAATATTTTGTATAGGATAATTATTATAATTAATATTATTTTAGGTCATAAATTGAAAATTAAAATGGCTCACAGTGGACCTCACCTGGAGATCTCTACCTGGTTAAAGAATTTAGATCTTCCTCAATATTCTTCTAAATTTCATAATTACAAAGGTGTTGAGGTAAGTTAATAAATTCGATCTGAATTATAAGAATTTGAATACTTGTGATTTTAATCGCTCACCCATCAAGTGGCACTTTATAGCTTCAGTAAATTTGAATTAGGGGGACCTCAAGTACAGTAGTGTTGACTTCAGACATTTTTGTTTGGGAAATATTTTCTTATAAAAGATTGATTTGGTACCCCCTGCTAGTGGGGGCCTCGGAAAATTGCTCTTTTTGCCTATAGGATAACACGCCACTGCCCCCAACTCCTTATGGGGATTTATATCGAGTAAAGCCGGGTACTTCAAGAATTAAAAAAATCTTGTAAAGTGTATTGTTTTCTCTCTGTGCTCCCCTCTAAAGCTTACTGGATCCTCTATTATCTGTACACGATGCTTTCGAGAAAGTTTTAAATCATACAAAATATAGTTATTATTTTAATTATTTAAATCTTAATTAAATTATTGGCGAGAAATGGAACCTATCAAAGGAGGGAGAAGAAAACTTAAAATTTGATTCTATGTAATTTTAGTTTCTTTCAAAAAACGTTGACGATGTATTCCTGTATTCCAATATACAGTTTACTTAAAATTTGTTGTGTTTCCTGTAATCTTTGAAAGCTTTCCACCCCTCTGCAAATATTTTTTTTAAGTCAAAAATCCATTTGGGAAGTAAACACTGTGTAATGAGAACTTGCACTTGTTTTCGCCTTCCTGCATTTTTATTTATTTATTTTCAGTCTTAAAATATATACAGTAAAACTTGTATAAACCGGAATGCCATGGGGTTTGACAGGGTTGTTTTTAACATAGAAAATCGCTTGTTTCCGAAGAAGTTTTTAGCGTTTAGGCAGGTTTCCGTTTTAGACAAGTTTTACTGTATATATTAATATAATAACTGAAATTACAAAGAAGATTGTTTTGATTTTCAGGACATTCTTCACTTTTCTGAAAGGGATCTCAAGTCTTTGGGAATCAAAAACGGTTCACACAGAGCTAGAATAATGAGCTCGTTAGTAATTCTTCGAGAAAAATTTAAAAAAGGTTAGAAATTTCTCGATTATTATTTATTTTATTTTTTAATAGTGTTATGTGCTGATATTATGGCTATTTAATACAGGTTTTAAAATGAAAATTGAAATTGGCTATCCCAATCGAAGCGCAAGTTGCATCAACTTAACCGTTCCTAACAAGTATGTTAAAGAAATTTTATCCATTTTATAAAATTCGAGAATTATTAATTAATTTATAATATTACTTTCCAGGCTGTTACATAACGGAGAGAAACCTTGAAACGTCGAGAAATTAAAAACACAGAGATTTTTTTCCCTTTATGTATTGATGTTAGTATGTGTGTGGGGGGAGCACGATTTTGTTCACCCAATTCGAAGCTTAATAACTCTTTTAATTTTGGTCGAAAATTTCTGAAATTTTGTAATGGAGTTTGTGTATTAGGAAGGAATGTTCCTATAAATTTTCAAAAAAATTGGACCATTGGTTAGGGAGATATAGCCTCACACTTTTTATATCTCCCGAACGTTAGTAGTGATTATTAGGGATGAAAACAAGTAAAATACAAGAAAATGCTAATATTAAAATGGATTTTTTGAAAATATTATTACAGAAAATAATAAGTATGTATCAATAAAAACAAATTTTCCATTATATAATTTCTTTTTTTTTTTATTTGGCAACAAATATCCTAAACATTAATGTATTTTTAATCTTGTTCATATGCAAATTATCTTATTAACTTAATAAGTCGTGGGTGATATTTAATTCTGTCTTGTTACCAACGAGTCTTAATTATGGTTAATTATTTTCTTGCAAAATTCTCCCTTTTGTAGGAGAAAAATATTCCTCTTTAACAAGAAATAATTTATGTTGTTTGATCGATTTTCTTTTTGTTTCAAGGATGCATTTATATTTATTAAAATTGCACTTTCCTCTAAATTAGAAGTAAAATTCGAAAGAAACTAACTTCATTATTTTATTTAAAAATAACATTTAACCATTTTTTTTTTTAAATATAATATTTCAGGATAAGAAAAATAATTTATTTTTCTTAATCTTAAAATTGTATATATTCAACAAAGGACACAGGACTTATTAAACTTAATATTATCCTTACATACAGGAAAAAAAAACCACAACTTTTTTTGCATTTCTCGACTTTTCAAGGCCTCCTAAGTAATGTAAAAGGACCCTCGAATATGTAAAAATCTGGAGGGGGAAGTCATTTTTCTACCGATCCCCCGATTGTTCGACACACTTTCCCTTTGTTATATAGCCCCTAACAGCTGTGAAAATCGCTAAATATTTAAATATTTACAAACTTTACCGGTTTATACTTTTTATTAAAGCTTTCTAAACATACTTACTGTATACAAATGAATTATATCTGTTCGTAAAATATATTTATTCTGACGTAATTATCAATGTAAGTGATCAAGTATCTGCTGAGTTAAATTTAACAAGTGTTTGCTTCTAAAATAAACACACTTTCATAAACTGATATTACAAAATGTAAACCCGTTCCAATTTAACAATCTCACAGTTTGTTGCGGAATTAAAACGGGGTAGGAAGGAAATTATTCGTATTTTATTTCTATTTCCAGTCGCTCTTCCCCGGAACAGCGCAGTTGGCCTAACAGTTATCAAGGAAGTCGAATGTCTAGCGGTAAATCGAGTAATAGATCGAGTATGGTAAGTCTCAGATTTTTATTCGATTTAACGTTATTTTTTTAGTCACGTGATAAGCGAATTACACAGTGTATTTAGGAACCTTTCGCTGGACCTAACGCTAGTGCCTCGGAATTAAAAGCTGCCTTAGAATGGGAATTAAGCTTAGATTCTAATGATGTTAGAAGCCACGCTTGGTATCATGGAACCATTCCCAGGCAGAGGGCTGAAGAATTGGTCGCTCAGGATGGAGATTTTCTAATACGTGACTGTATGTCGAAACCTGGTGATTACGTGTTGACTTGTCGCTGGTCCGGATCGGCGCTTCATTTTATTATTAATAAAGTAATTCAATTTTTTAATATATTTACAAAATAAACTTTATAAATTATTTATTTAATTTTTAAGAACACGTTCGATTTAACGGATTTTCAGTAATTAATACGTTAAATCGAGGGTCGACCGTATTTATATATAAATATTACATAATATAATGCCTAAATTTTCTTTAATTACGTTAAAGAACCTTGTGAGAAGTATTATAGTCTGTATATTTGATATTTAGGTTGTCCTTCAGCCTTTTACAATTTATGAAAAAATTCAATATCGATTTGAAAAGGAAAGCTTTGATACGTTGCAAGATTTAGTAACGTATTACGTTGGTAGCAAACAAGTAATTTTCTCTTCTTCGTCCATTTCCATCAGTCGTCCTATAAATAGGAATATGCCTCTTACGTATTATTTATCACGATACGGTTTAGATTGCCAAATGCAGTATGTTGCTCGAGCACTCGAGAAGAACCAAGATATATCTTCTTCAAGGTAAGTACTAGTTAGAAACTCGTTGACAAAAATTTTATTCTATAAAAACCAATTTCATAGACAAAATTTCAGATATATTCCCTCGAATTCGAGCCCCGTTGTAATAAAGAAAGATATAAAACCTCCAGAATTACCCCAAAAAAAGCGAGAGTTGTTTCCAAACCAACAAGAACAGGATAAACCACCACCAAAGCCTAGTAGAGTCCCATCCAAGAAGTATACTGAAAAACCAAAAATATCTGTGAGAAGATTACCTAGTCTGGATGATGATGATGATGATGACGACTTTGCCGAACTTCCTCCATACGAAAAAATCGAAGAGCAAAACATTCAAAACTCGAGGAAATCTTCGGGTGTAACTCGACATTCCTTTCTAGATAGGAAGATTGTTGACGACGATTATAATAAATCGAAACAATTTATCATTTCTTCTCTTAATCTTCCATCATCAATAAATCTTAATTTATATAAAACACCGTTGTTGGCATCGGAAAATAAACCTCTCGATAGTCAAGCGATATCGAAAGTTCGAACAATGCTTTTGGAATATGGACCCAGATTGTTAGCTGTCCACTTAACAAAAGTGGATTTAGAAATGTTGAAGTGTGGTAAGGAGGAGGATCTCGGATTTGGAGTAGTATCGGGTCTGGAATTAATGCTGTTACCCCAAGGAAAACAGTTAAGAAAAGATATTTTAGAGAGGTAAAAATAAATTTAATTATTTAATAATATAAAATATAATATTTTAATATTATAAATTTCTAATTTGCACAGGATAGAATGTTTAAAATTATTTGTAACCATAACTTGTTTATTATGTGGTTCCCAACAAGAAATTATTGAAATGATAAATAAATGGATTAAAATAGCTATCGAAACGAAAGTAACGATTGGAAATTTATATGGTTTTGCATGCATTATGCAAGGATTGGCACATCCTCAGGTATGGATCAATTTGTTTAAATACTTAAAAATCTTCTATAAGCATGCTTTTGTTTCTTGTATTGAATACTACATTACCATGTTGGCCAAACTGCGACTCTTCTAGACATATATTTAGGATTAAGCAATGGCTTAACTAATATTTTGCTCTGGAGAGTAATCTGGAAGGATGATGTAAAAAGTATACTCAGAATGAAGAAGAATTTAGCGTACCATAAAGTTTCTGGGGATTCAACACCCATATCACCACTCATAAGTACTCCGTTGGGTACTTTGAGCGATGTTGTGGATGTTGAATCCCCATGAAGCTTTATGGACCATAGAAAGATCTCCATGAAGAGAGGAATAGCACCATAGGATCCCTGGTGCTATTCCTCTTTATCTCTTTCTAATATATGATGAGGCTCTCACTTATTCCTTATACTTACTTGTTTGTTAGTATATGGTTCCTATTGTGCCAAAATTTGGCCACCCCTGTTATATTATAATCTTTTATTAACTTTAAAATAGTAATTTTAAATTAAAGAACTAAACATGAATCTAGTAATTGAACAAATTCACATAATGTATTTTTAATCTTGTTCATATGCAAATTATCTTATTAACTTAATAAGTCGTGGGTGATATTTAATTCTGTCTTGTTACCAACGAGTCTTAATTATGGTTAATTATTTTCTTGCAAAATTCTCCCTTTTGTAGGAGAAAAATATTCCTCTTTAACAAGAAATAATTTATGTTGTTTGATCGATTTTCTTTTTGTTTCAAGGATGCATTTATATTTATTAAAATTGCACTTTCCTCTAAATTAGAAGTAAAATTCGAAAGAAACTAACTTCATTATTTTATTTAAAAATAACATTTAACCATTTTTTTTTTTAAATATAATATTTCAGGATAAGAAAAATAATTTATTTTTCTTAATCTTAAAATTGTATATATTCAACAAACTGATTATTGTAGTAAGAGTATCGAAATTTTAAATTTGGGCCACATCTGGGGACCCTAGATTGTCGGTGTGGCGCGGGGTGCACTGGCACAACGTTAAAAAATGAACGAGGATATCGGAGGGGGGATTCACCTAAGAAAAATGCTTGAACGCTGTTCGCGGGGCCCCGTGGAGTTATGAAGCCCCACTGATGTTATAAGCATATAATACACTCAGAACCGCTGGAGGTTTTGTGGGGCCCTAAAATATTTGCAAAAAGAACTTTATAATTTATGCAGAATTTATAAATCAGGTTTCCGAGTTAATTTACTGGACAAAAAAGTATGCCATTAAATAAACACGANAAAATGAATTAAATTTGAATACATAGGAATAACTTTTAATGTAGGAAAAAATCAAATAATATCCTCTGATTTTACAGATTACATTATTATTTTTCAGATATTAAATAACCTATTAATTAAACAAACAAATATTACATTTAACACTCTTTTAAAAGCTTTAATTTTATTTTATTGGATTATAATAGTAAAGGTTATAAAATTAAAGGATTTGAATACACAGTACAATTTTAAATTATTTTAATAAATGTGTTTTATATTAAATGTATATTATGAATTTAATTTTTAATTAAAAATTGCTTATTTATTAATTTTACAGCTTACTCGACTACAGAACGTTTGGTTACTCTTAAGACAAACTTATACAGAAACTGCTTTGACGTATGAAACCAAGCTACGACCCGCATTAAAATCTATACAGGAATCTTCCAGTTTCCATATCCAGAATATTTGTATACCTTATATTATCACTTTGGTTTCTGTATTCGATCGCATTCGAGACATTAATTCCGAAAGTGAAATTGTAGAAATATTGGATTCTCCAGGTGAAATGTCCACCGTGGATTACGGTTTAGAAATGCTCTTAAACCATTTAACAATTGGGAGGCAAATTTCTCAACAAAGTTCCTCGTTTAGCAGGAATGGAGAATCTATCCTTAACATTAATCACGAACCATTGTTACTAGACATTTTTAGAACAGAATTTCATCTGAAAGTATTGTGGGGAAGTAAAGCGGCTAATGTGGATCCAGTGCAAAGATACGAAAAGTTCGAACAACTTTTAGCAATAGTTTCCAACAGGATTGAACACAGATAAAGTTTTACTTCAATCCATCAATCAAAAATGAATATTTTAAACACGGAAAATACAATCTATATCAAAATATTTTTTATTATAAATTCGATTCTAGTCATAGAAGCAATTATGATTTTCATTTATTCTTTTTTTTTTTAATTAATAGAAGAAATCTTGGAGTAGTTTTAATGGATAAAAATCCTGGATTCTTTATGCCTGAGTGCTAATTTATTATTGTTTTTTTTTAAATACTTACCTAATGATTTACTTCATAGTGATCATTTCTAAATTATTTAAAATCATAGTTTTAAAATTGTTGATATAATAAAACATTTAATGAAAATATGAAAAAATAAAGTGTAATATTTGGTTTGTAAAGGACTGTACAATTTTATTCTTAACAAAAGATTATTGATTTGTTAAGAGTAAAAGCAATTATATCAATTATTAAAATTAAGAAACTATATATTTTTCATAAATCAATAATTTCCTGTGTTAGCCTTTGTCTATTATTTATAAATAAGTAAATATGTATATGTACAATGTATATAGGGCTATGGAGAGCTTGTATAAAAGGCCTTTTTTTTTACCTTTTCTTTAACAAATGAAATATGTAGAATGTTTCTTTATTAGTAAAAGGCCTTATAGATTTTATTTGTTAGTAAAAATGACATTAATTTATATGGGAAGGAATCACTTCAGGCCCCTAAACTTTCTGGTCCTGGGGTAAAATTCCCCTTTCCATGGCCCTGTAAGTGTATGTACAAAATATAGTATGTGTGTGTGATAGACAAAGGTTAGAATATATAATTATAAATATTTTATTTTTACTAAAATTTTAAAGATAAAACAAGCCTTGTTACAGGGGGTTATTACATGAGTAATTTATAAATTTACAACAGTTGGTCAACAATTATTCCAATTCACATTATTTTTCTTGAATAAAATAAAATTACATTAAGTATACAANGCGTCAAATAAGTTAATTTTTGTTAACTTTATCATTCTGATCCATAAATCATAAAATATTTTACTTGGAATAAAAATTTGTATTTAAAAAAAATGTGAACGTTTTAATTATTATATTCAGTAATAAAAAAAAATCTATAATAAAGTTTAATTCAAAAATAAAATGTGTATATTTGAATCACAATACAAATTCTCTATTGCATTCATCTAAAGATTTGAAGGGCAATAATCTGGCTTAGTAATTTTCAACCCATTTCTCTAGTGCCATACCCCTAAAGTGTAGCGCGAATGGATTGATAGAGGAAGGAATGCAACACTTGAGCAATTTCCCAAAGTGGGATGCCTTCTGGAAGGAATATAGGAAACTGGCCCCTAGTTAGGTGGTGAATTACATATTTGAAGAAAGTCTGGAAAACTCCACGCTGTTAGACCGTTGATGAAGCACGAACCGCGATCAACTACAAGTGTTTCTTTTCTTTGAAACAAGTTTTATATCAATGTAATCATATTGATCTTTCAAAATTTGTCCATTGTTCTGAGCTCTGTAGGATTTTTATTAATTGCATAGCTATGGCAGGATATGGCGTCTTGTATTTCCATATACATATACTAACATTTTCTAGCTCTTATCGGGATGGCTGAGTTAGTAAAGACATCAGCCGGCCGCTCTGAGGAACCGGAATTTGAGTTCAAGTCAGAACATCTGAAATTTTCAGCTGTAGTGTGAATACGCTGTGTCCTACGAGTCTGCCCGAATATATAAGAGAAACGAAAAAATCTTTTATTATCAGTAGAGAGGAAAAATTAAAAAAAAAAAAAAAACTACGAGCTATTTCAAGTTTACCTCTGCGATCAAGGTGGCAGCTCTGCCGCTCTGAGAGACCCGAGTTCGGATCCGGACGGGTCGTTAAATCACCAAGAATTTTTCGGGGGTGGTCCTTTTGGATATGTCGGGCTCCTTCCTTCACCTGGCCGCCCCATTGTGAGCATGGCCGAACCCTTAAGTCTTGCAAAAAAAAAAAAAAAAAAGCCGTTTCAGTGAGCACAGGGTGGAAAGAGTTAAACAAAAAAACAAAAAAAAAAAAACTATCTGTTCTGCTCCCGAACCCACCAGTCAGAGCCGGCCCTACCATAGGGCGAACGGAGCAGCCGCTCTAGGCGCAAAGTCCAAGGGGGTGCCTCAGTGGTAAAGAAAATTAAAGGGTATAAATTAGGGGCAACCAAGGAGGGGCGCTATAATAGGATCTCGCTCCATCCTAAAACTTGCCTCGGGCCGGCACTGCCACCAGTGACCGAGTGGATAAAACCACCAAGCACGGCTTGGTCGTGGTTTCGCGCCACGTGGAATTTTCCGGGTTTTCTTCACGTTTCAAACATCTAAAAGGGGCCACTTTCCCGTAAAAGTCCTCCCGGGAGACATCACCTCTCGGCAGATCGCCCTTGTGTCGCATTGCCGTATACAATTAAAACCAATATGCTCCCGAAGAATATCTCTGATTTCATAAGAATTTTGTAGCGATATTAAAACCTTTACTTAAACCAACGCCACTTTTTCTTCTTATATTACATGCAAATGTTTATTCGAAAAATAAATAAACAAACAAATAAAATGATTTAACGAAAATATTTCAAATTACTTAAAAACTCAAAACAAAATATAGAAATTAATACATAAAACAACATAATAATATTTGTATAAAATGTTAAATACAGTAATTTTAAAATCATAAATTTTTCTCTGGCAACACTTAAACGACGTATCTTTCAAATAACATGTTTCAGTTTACAATTTAAATATCAGCGATGGAAATGCATGCCGTTCTTTATACGTAGAAATTGACGTGTTACAAACTGTATACGTACACACAAAATAAATTTGAAAATATGTAACTTTACGTAATTAAGTATTCTACAGATTAGACTGTAAGAAATGATTTAACGATCAATCAATTTAATAATCAAGGTATTTACACATTCTAAATAAATAAATTTTATAGATGTTTTTCGAAGAATGGCCACCAATTACATTTAATGTTAATGATTCTAATAATTAATTTTTTAGAAAATTTCTAATTTAAAATTCTAATGTAAATTTATTATTTGTTATATTATTTTTCTGTTTAGAAAATGTATAGGAAATTGTTGTAATGGCACTATTATAACTAATAATTGTCTTATAAATATTGTATTATCCCCTATGTAATGAGAAATTAATCCCTTATACCCCTTAGATATCCCTTATATAGGGTGTCCAGGAAAGGTGAGTGCAGTTTAAAAGTAAAATAAATTAAAAATAAAAAATGTTCAAAAAAGTTTTGTTTTTATTTTCAATCTACTGTTATTGGAAAACTATTTACTACAAATTATGTTATCTAAATGGTGTCCATTACGCTCTGGCATTCTTCTAATCTTGAGCAAAGATTTCTCAGTACACATTGACACAAAGCCTGAGATACCAATGCCATTTCTGCTGCGATATTCTTTAATTGAGGTAATGTCCTTGGCTTATTTTCGTACACCCTCTCTTTAAGAAATAAATCCGAAATCAGCTTATTGGGTAATAACTCCTTTACGGCTTCAATTGATTCATTGTTTCAACAAGATGGTGCCACTTGTCACACGTCAAATGAATCAGTTGAAAGCCGTAAAGGAGTTATTCCCCAATAAGCTGATTTCGGATTTATTTCTTAAAGAGAGGGTGTACGAAAATAAGCCGAGGACATTACCTCAATTAAAGCAGAATATCGCAGCAGAAATAGCATTGGTATCTCAGGCTTTGTGTCAACATGCACTAAGGAATTTTCGCTCAAGATTAGAAGAGTGCCAGGAATGTAACGGATGCCATTTAGATAACATAATTTTTAGTAAATAATTTTCCAATAACCGTAGATTGAAAATAAAAACTAAACTTTTTTTGAACATTTTTTATTTTTAATTTATTTTACTTTTAAACTGCACTCACCCTTTCTGGACACCCTGTACAATAAAAATTGATTGATTGATATATATTAGCTATGAAATCTTACATATTACCTTAACATTAACCTCATATAACCTTATATGTAACCTTAACCTTTAATATTAACTTTATATAACCTTAATATATGAAAATTTATGTATTAAATTATGTTTATTTCATATTAAAGTAGGTTAAAAATAAGGCACAGATATAAAAATGATCCAAATTGTGTTCTATTTACTATAATTTTTGAAAAAAATGGATTATTTCTATTTTATTTTAATCCAAAAATTAATACTTAAATTCGTTTCTTTCTTTAAACTAAATAATTTGAAATTTAAAGTAATTAAAAATTTGAAGAGCTTTCATTCTAAAAGTAAAATGAATTTAATATATATGGAATAAGTAATACTGTTAATTTCCACCATTACAAGTATTGATTAATATAAAGTATTTCTGAACATTTATTTTAAAAGATAGTCAAACTATATTTAGATACAAAACTTTTGGATGTATCTTGACTTATCATTTATTCTTTTGTAATATTAAGATTAAAAAAAGGTCATTTATAAGATTTGAGATTAGATTATTTTTTAAAGAAAACATCAAATAAATAGAAGCAATTAGTATATTATTATTATACGTATTGAAGTTGCTGTGTCAAAAATTAATTAAATATTTTTGCCTATATTTTTATATTTATAAAATAGTTTATTTTTAATTTTTCAACTGTTGTCACATTATTTAATTCAATAATACTATATAACAAGATAGTGTATAGTAGAATCTACTGTCCAATTTGTTCCTGGAAAACTCATTAAGCAAGCTATCATGAATTGGGAACTCTGATTTTCCAAAGATTTTGTCATAAATTGATATTGTAAATATAGTTTAAACTATGTAATGCCAAACTAAGATGGCAAAAATAAAAATACTTCATAAATCTGTATTAGTCATAAAAGTAAAGTTTTATATATTAAATAAGTGGTTAAAACAACTGTGTTCTTATACTTTGATGTAATCATAATAATTATATATAATGATAATTTTTAAATAATTTATTTGAATTTAGTTAATTTAATTTATTTATTTATTATTATTTTTTTTTTCAGTTAAAATGCAATCCAATAGTACATCAGCTGCTTGGTTAGGTAAATTTTATTTATAAATTTCATTGGATATAGTTTTAACTAATTGTTTTGTAAAGGAGGAGACTACTGCAAATATTATTAACACTCAATAGAATATAATAAACTCAGTATTTAAATATATTATGGAATACTAGGTTGTATTAACATTATAAAAAACTTGTTTACTCTGTGTGTAGACTCTTTGTAATCCAAACATTAATTTTGGTAGACGATCAAACAGCAATTAGTTAGGAAAATGTTACGGTTTATTTAAAAGAACACTTTTTTAAAAAATTCAGATGCATTTTGGGTTGGCTTGTATTCCCAACCCCTCTTCAGTGCTGTTAAAATTACAAAAACAAGGTGAGTTTCACGACATTGGTAAGTGGGATTTAACATAAATGTGGGTTGACAATAACATAAAAACCATACATGTTATATTATGGTACAGTATAGACATGTGTGTTTACATGTAAGGCATGTAAGTTAAATGTACGTTTACATGTAAGTTTACATGTGTGCTAACATGTAAGGTTTTTATGTTATTGTCAACCCGCATTTATGTTAAATCCCACTTACCAATGTCATGAAACTCACCTTGTTTTTGTAATTTTAACAGCACTGAAGAGGGGTTGGGAATACAAGCTAACCCGATTAATTTTTTAAAAAAGTGTTCTTTTAAATAAACTGTAACGTTTTCCTAACTAATTGCTGTTTGATCGTCTACCAAAATTAACGTTTGGATTACAAAGACGCTACACACAGAATTTGAAGATACAGCAACCATGTCTTCTACATTGTTTACTCTATTTAAAACAAATAAAAAATAACCTGAACAACACTAAAAGAAAAACAAAAATTTACACAATTATAGCATCTTTCAAAGACTGCATGTCATGGCAGTGCAGTCACCAAGATTGGAATAAACAACTCATTTCTACCATAAAAGTGAGGTAATTTGTCATCTAGAAAGGGTGTCTGTATTCCCTGTCCTTCACTTTCAAGATACTTCTTCAAACTTCTGATGACAAAAAGTTCTGAATTAAAATTAGTGACAAAAGTAAGCCTATTATACAAGAATAAGACCCTGATATTACTTTTAGAGGAAGCTTATTTACGCAAATATTCAATATTAGTTTCCACTATGTTTATAAGGTGTCCATTTAAATATTTATCCAGAGGAAAAAAGAGTTTTTAAATAATTATCAATAGTTTGGACTGCAATAGGTACAAATACAAGGAATATTGTGTCACTATGACATGCATCCATTTCACTGCTATCTACAACCAATACAACATTTAGAGAATTCTGCACAATGATTTAAGTGGTTCAGCATGATGTTAAATTTAGTGTGACAAACCACGATTTCTTCAGAACATTTTATGCAATGATGTTGTACTGTTTTATAACCATCAACTGTTACAACCGTGATAATGTGTATCTTTAGGCAGATCATACTGCACAGTATCAGGAATACCAAATATGTTTTACTTAAACATCTGTTCTGGAATTTGAGGTGAGCAGTTTTTTGAACTCATATTCATTGATGTAATCCTGAGTAGTGAATAGTATCTAAATGTTTTAAACACAATGGTGGACAAATGGCTTGATGACTTATCACTGGCATAGGTGCACCATCAACCTGATACAGCAGGTTTTGTATCAGCTGGATGGTGCACCACCTCATTTCTGGACAGATGTTTGTCAGTGGTTCACAGAGTGGTTTGGCAACTACTAGCTAGGAGAACACTGTCCTGTTCCATGACCACCACATTCCCATACTTGACTCCTGTGGATTTTTTTTTCTATGGGGTCACCTAATAGCATTAGTGTACTATATGTACTCAGCAGTGCTTCATGATGTTGTCAAACTGGAAGATGCATATGGAGGGTCTGTGAAATGATGACACTGAGAATGCTACATACCATTCATATTGCCATATTCAACAATCCACATCTTTGTATGCTGCTGCTTTATATGCTAATGGTCATTTTGAACATGTTCTGTAACAAAATAAAGCCCAATTTTTTTGTATCAACTTCTACAATGTTGTTTTTATCCTTTATAGTTAGAGATTATTTGTATGTTAGGCTAAACTATCATAAATTAGTTTTTTAGTTGTGGAACAAACATCCACCACATGCACACACTTGTACATTATTGGAAAGATCTTTTTTGTCCACGGATAGATGTTTAAGTGAACACCCTGCATATATTAATATAATCTTTTATTGTAATTAAAGTATAATATTTATACACACTTGTCTTCAAAAAATTTTTCTAAACACATGCCTACATATAAAACAAAGTTTATTTAAAGCTTGCTTACATTTCTTGAACATGGTTCAACATAGTACTCTGAATCTTGATCAAGATGCTATGATGCGCAGTAGCAAAAATGAGTCTATATTAATATGTGAAGAGTGTCAATTATATATATTTAACAGAATATGGGGTAAATCTCATGTTGAAGTCAAGCATATGTTCCTTTTGTGCTTTAGAATCCCATCTGGACAATATGCAGCTCTTTGCCTGATAATTTAATTATATGACTTTTTTTCTGTTTTTTGTGCATTTATAGTCTATTTTCTGAATTATGAAAAATTATTTAAGCCATCGATAATGTTTTTTTCTAGCTAAACTAAAGAATGTTTAGCTTATTAATAATATCTTTTATACAATATTTATTGGTGTAGTCTTATAACATTATGAAATGTTTCATCAAGTTGATAACAAGACAAAACCAAAAGATGCCATCTACGTTAATTTATATAGTTATGTCTTGTGATCTGGGATTGTTAGAGTCAGAGTATTATCAGATTTAATTTTATGATAAAAAATATCATGTAAACAAAAAATTTGGGTTAACACCATTTAAAAAATTTTTAAATCTTGCTGTTTGTAATCGGGTTCTAGAAAATAGCAATGTTATAAAAATTATAAATTTATTGAAATTATTATATAAAATCTCTCTTCTATTCATCTTAGACTTTTGTTCTAAAAGTCAAATACTGTTTAAAAGATTTGAATATTAAGAAGTGTGCATAATTAAATTAATTTAAGTAATAGGGTAGTTGTAATTTTAATTTCTTTGATGAAATATCAGTTATTTATCAGAAAAATATATACTTATACTTAAATTTCTTATTTTTTCTTCTACAAACTGAGAATATTTTTTATGAATTCTTCTGGCAATGAAATTTTATTTGTACTTGTTAAAATTCTATATATTGTATCTGTAATGAATTTACCATATAATAATATTTGATCTATATATGATGTGATATTTTTTATAAATTTTTTAGATATTAATAAAGCGTGGGAATCAGTAGCAGAATTAAAATATGAGGTATTATTTTTAAGATTGTTTGAAAATATTAAAGTTTAAATTATTATATACCATTTATTAATTATAAGCTAAATAATTTATACTTTTCTAAGTGGAGTTATACCATTCCTTTCTCTAAACAGGGACATGTGATTAATGAACCCATATGAGACTTTAGGCATGATTAAGTCTAATGTTATGATGTAATGTATTCTGTCTTATGGCATTTAACTTTTTTATCTCATGAATTCTGTAAGGAAGATTTCATTACATTGCTAAAAAACAATGAACATTGGCTAAAACCACTGGCAAAGCTATAGTTCCTGCTCTGGTTTTAATGCCGTACGACACCATACATTACATCATAACATTATACTAGATCATTATTTAGGTGAGGTGAAATTAACTGTTTTTTCTCAGAGATGAATAACAGAGGGTAATTAAATTTATTTAAAATAGTAACCTCCAATTGATGCTCATGCTCATCATGTATAATGCTGAAGTATAGGAATGAGATAATTCCTAGATCTGAACATTATGTATGATGAGCACCAATCTGGGAATGGGATCATCTAAAATTTATTTGTTAGCTATCATTGGTAAATATGTATAGAGAATGTAAAATAAAAATATTTTAACAGTAAAATGATTATTATATTGTAAGAATGTACAGTGTTTGTGGTTGCTGCCTGATACCTAATTTGTCAGGAAACCAAACCCAGGAAGGATTTGCAGATATAAACCACATTTGTGGGTGCCAATGGATTTAGTCTTGAAACACCTTTACAAATGTTCCTGTTTATTGATACAGGAATTGTCTCTTACATTGAACCTTCTTTCATCTTCTTCATTTATTCATCTGTCAAAGATATCCTTGAGATATAGAGCAATAATTTTTAACTCGTCCTATGAGTTCATAAAATGCCAGGCCCATTGACAAGGTGATCAGGGTCATCTAATCCAGAGATTTGTCTCACACCACTCTCTAGTGGAAGCTTAAGATGGTGATTTCAAAGTTTCCTAGCAACAAAGTCATGCACTTATTAAGTGCCACAAAAGGAGCGAGTATTTGATGACAGATTGCTGCAGTGTAGAATTGATTTATGTTCTATGGGTAGATTAAAAATGTGCTTGAAGAAGACATACTAAGTTGACTGGTAGATGTTTAGTGGATTATTAGAGAAAGTGGATCAGTGCAATGCAGATAGTGATGAATGGTTGGAGGAGGACAGTTGGAGAAGTGCAGTTTTTGGAAAATGGTCAGAGAAGTACACTGTAGTCTTGAGATATGGATTTATATAGAATTTATCCGCAGACCAAACAATTTAATTGGACCCAAATTGCTTCTCTTTCCTCCCTGATTAGTTCTCTTTTTGTCTCCAGATAGAAATAGACTTATTTGGAGCCCAAAAAAGGTCAAATCATGATGCTAACCTGATACTGCATCTTGATCTTGGACGATGGGGTGTTTAAACAAACTCTGGAACTTCTGCTCTTATTGCTTTCTCTCCTGTCAAAAATATTTTTATTAGGCATCATGCGATAATTATTTGTTGATCTAAATATTTTATAACACTTTGAGTTTGCCGAAATTTTGTCTCATTCACAAGTGCCTAAGCCAAAGTTTGTCTTCCTGGTTTGCCCTTTACATCTATTATCATCTTTTTTCTTTTTTTCTTTTGCATTGTGTTTATCTTATGAAATTCCTTTCCTGAGTGGAAAGTTTTTAAACAAAATTTAGTAAGGAGTCAGACTTGTACCAAACCTCACAATATTCTTTAAAATATTTTTTTATTTTATTATAATATGATACATTTTAATTGTATATAATTAAATTATTATATATCTATGAAGTTTATACTTAATTTATATATTGTAAATTCATAAATACTATAAATGCTTATCATAAACTTACTAAATATAACTTTGTACTGTATGTAATTATAAAACATTATTTAAGGATATTATTCTGGAATTTCTTAGCATCTTAGACTACTTTTATCAGAAAAAATTAACAGGCTTTATGTATGAGTATTCAGTTATATTTGAAAGTTTCTCTAACCAGTTACAGAAAACAGAAATGAAGTTGAAAGAAGCAAGTCGTCCTTATTGGAGATCGAATGAAAATTTTTCAAAATTGGAAGAATTAAAACCTTCAAAATTACGAATTGTTGATGCTTCTTTGATTAATAAAGATATAGAAAATGTATATAATCATAAATCAAATACAACTTCTACAAAATTTCAAGTGAGTATTTAAAAATTAACATTTTGCATTGATGATTGTATAAATGAAGGGTGCAATGCCATAATCCTGTAAATGCCATTTTTCTCTAAATACATTTTATTGAAGAAAGTATTCTAAATGCAGTATTTTCTGCTGCAAAAAAAATATTGTGGTGATAATGACACTATAAGTGGCTGAATTTATGTGCACGCCATAAAGTTTTAATCACCAAAAGTCACACGACTTGCACTTTGGCACTTAAAACATTATGGCTTATGTTCAAGACATAAACATTTTCTAGTGAATGAATTCCTTCAAGGATTCATTCACTAGAAAAATGTTTTTTCTCTCTCCTGAAAAGTTTGTTTTTTGGCATTTACAACATTATGGCATTACATGCTTCAAATATTAAAGTTTTATAAATGAAATGTATTCTAAATATAGCTGCTGTGTAATTTAATTCTTTTTAAATTTATTGAAGAAATTACCAATGAAGTTAATTCAATAATATTGTTATGAAGTTTTATACAAAGTTGAACAATATGATTACAGTAGATCCCCCTATAAGACTGGTTCCTATAATTACGATTCCTATAAGACGGTGAAAAAATTGTGGCGGTATCCGTACACAACGGTAAAAAATCCTCTTATAATTACGTAAAACGTCATCGGGCAGCCGAACTACTTTCCCGCCGTCCGTAGCGCCACGCTACGGAGAGATTTCTATCGTCTGGACAGTATTATATAAATTATATATAAATTAGGTACTGTACATATAATTATATATTAATTATATATAAATTAGGTACTGTATATATAATTATATATTAACTTATTGTAACTTTGTTATAATTAAATATATAATTTCCGCCGTCTAGCGTGGCGCCACGCTACGGAGATTTTACGCTAACTATCGTCTGTACAGTATGTAAATTAGGTACCGTAAGTCTAATACAGTACTGTAATTTTATACATTTCTTGTGAAAGAAACATTTCTTATTCAACGGCGATAAAAATTATTTATATTAATGATGTCTCCAAAGTTCAACAAAGTTTTTGCAGAAAAATAACTTATCAGAAATCGCGGCCGCCGTTTGGTGCACTGCTCCGCGACGAAAACAAGCTTAAGCAATGGCAACGTCGAACAGTGCACACTCGGTAAGTAATCCTACAATTTTTTGTTTATAGCATAGTTTATACGGATTATTTCCAAAAAAAAAATATACGTATTTTGGAAATGTTGAGTCGGATTAGTCTAGAATCGATTAATTTTATGGAAGAAAACCTTTCAAACATCTGTAGTCCGTAAACTTCACACGTGTCGGGCTGTGATTCCTACAAAATCAGATTCATAAAGAACGGAATGTATTTACCGTCTTATAGGGGGATCTACTGTATTTTATTTATTTATTTTGGGATAAATAAGTCAAATTGATTAAGAGATTACTCTCTCTAATGGAATAAAACTTCTGACTTTTCATTTGACTGCACATTAACTTGCATGATTTTTCTTTCAATTTGGATCATTAATTTTTCTTTGTTATTGTAACAGATAGAAGCAATATATTTTAATTTTAAATATGGTAGATGTAAAGTTCTGAATAATACATTTTAATGAGGTTCATCTTTATCAAATGAATACAAATAGGATGTTTAAATAAAAATAATCTGTGCAGTGGCCCTGATTTTATATGTTAATACAAAAGGAAACTTATTAGAAAAAAAGAATTATAAGAAGAAAGTGATGTATAAAAATCTCTTAAAGATATATATTAAGAATCTTATTGAGACATAAATTATTGTCAAAATAACTCTCCACTTTTATATGACAAGTTTATAAACATTGAAGGATAGAGAATTGATTGTAATCAGAATTGAAATTCTGACAGATTGAAGTAAATGTATTTAGTTTCACTTTTATTTTATGTAAACGAAAATTCTAAAAACTATTTTCTATTATTTTTACATTAAAAAGTTAAAATATTTGTTTTAATAAAAGTAAAGTAAGTAAATTTTTTCTAGAACAAAAAAAAAAAATACATTATAATGAATTGTAACAATTATAATAAATTCACATTAGAAATGTTAGTGATGACATTAAAATTATAAGGAAATAAAAATTTAAAAATGTAAGTTTCCTGCTTTTGTTTTATTATTTTTTTTATATGAATAGTTCTAATAATGCTTAAATATTTTGATATGTTTGTTTGTATATATTGACTTCAAGAATCTTGTTTTTTGTTTATCTTGACTCAATTATTTCATTTTCTTGCATCATAATTGCTTTGATATGAGAAATAAGATGAAGTTCATCAGCTTGGATAACTGTTTTTAATATAACTATTCATTGTTTGTTCTCATAAAGTTTTTTTTTTGGATGGAATGGAATAAATAAGAATAAAAATATAATAAACAATAATACAGTGATATAATTAGTTTTATTATAAAACTTTACACTAATTAAGGAATTATTTATTGATTGGAAAATATTTGTTATCTAATTTCAAAATTTATTTTCAGTTTGATTTTAAAACTGTTGCTAAAAATGAGACAGATTCTTTGAAAGATGTAAATAATAAAGGTTTTAAATTGTTGA